AAGCTTTTTGAAGTAAAACCGTCATTCTCAAACCACTTCATTTTTTCGATGTCCGAACAAGCACCGAAGCCGAACACAATGGCAGATGTCCTTTCAATGTTGCCAGACAAGCGCCCAGTTCAAATTCAAATTTTGAATTTGAAAGCTCATCTGACAAACACCGTTAAGACTCTCCAAAGTAGTCTTATGGAAGAGATGAAGGGACTTAAAGGTGAGTTCCTCATGAACCAAGCTTCCAATGAGAAAGTCCTGAATGATTTGACGGAAACCTTGCGCATTTACGCGAGAGAGAACCGAGACCTTGCCAGACTCATCTACCGTTTCTTCGAAGAGATAGACGCCATCTGGAAGGTACTCGGAAAGGACAGAACCTCCAACACCGTAATTCGTGAGTACCAAATTGAAGAAGGAATTTCAAAGAAGAGGAAGAAGAGGAAGAAGAGGAAGAAGAAGAAGAAGAGAAACACGAAGAAAAGGAAGTTTGGGCAACCCTTGTTGCCGATGACGCTTACGAAATTTCCCAACCCTACCCATACAAAATCCGCAACAAGGAGACAGGCAAGGTTCTTACCCCAGTCCTCAACAACTTGGGACACTTGAACCTTAACCTTCGGAATCGCGGTTCAATTCCATGGGCAAGCTTGTCGCAATTCAATGGGTTCCAAATCCAGACAAGAAGACGAGGGTCAGACACATTGACGGTGACAAGCTCAACAACCGTAAGGAGAACCTCGAGTGGTTCTAAGAGTAAAAAAATTTTATTTTAGGGGGAAACCCCAAGTAAATTTAGGTGTTTATTTGATTAAGTAGTTAAATTAAGGTAATTTGCAATTAGTTCCCGACCTGAATTGGACTCTTTCGTCATCCCAGTTGCGTAGGAGGTCGTCCCAGAGGAGTTGGTAGAATTGCCAATCCAAGGACGATTTGTCCTCCCAGGCATTGAGGATGTACTGCTCGTAGAGTTCATGACCTCTGCCTTGCACCAGACACCCTCTCCCTTGGAACGTAAGGCTTCTTCGAAGTGCTCGAATGCGATTGGCTGCGTGACCATCTGAAATGACACTTTTTGTCCGTTTGGTCAATGTTCGTGTCTCGTGCCATAGTCGACGAAAATACAAACAAACAGGTTATATATGAGTTTGAGACCAAGAATGGTGTAACTCGACCTGTCCGATTCAAAGACTCCGAGGGCGACCATGAAATTAAACGGAAATTAGCTAGGAAGGAATATAAAAATTTTTTATTTCATGCAATGTTTTATTTCTGTGCCGTCTTCTTTAACACCCCAGTACTTACGCTTGGAGAGGACATGAACTTCGGTGAAAATTTTGTCCAATTTGAATTGACCCATCTTTTCACCGACCATTCCCATTTCAATGAGTTTGTTGTACCTTCTTCGTTCGTCATGAGTGCGTCAATGTTCTCATAGTAAACCTTCACTTTGGATTTGACTTCGGAGAAGAATTTGTTGTAGTTGTCAAGGACTGCCTTTGCGAACTGAGGGTAAGACCAATGTTCGACAATAGGTTTTAATGTGGTTACTAAGCCACTTTGACCTTGAGTGAATTCGTACTTCAAAACAAAAGGAGAAAACCTTTCAACAAAGTTGTCGACCTTCTCATAATGTTTACTCTTCATCTCTTGAGGTTTCTTAATGGAATATCCCCATGTCGAATTCATAAGCAATTTGAGTGTCATTGCAAGTTTGGGGTTTGAAGCTTTCCTAATATCATACAGTTGTTGTATGACTTTTCCAACTGTATAGTTCCTTCCTGGGAACTCACCATCTTCGTTTGGAATTCCAGTCGGATATATTGGACGAACCTCATGTACGCAGCGTTAAGGTCGACATAGTATATCTTTTCATCTGAGTCGAACTTGTCGCATCCAATCGGTCCAGTTTGTGGAAATTCAAGTGAGTCTCTTATCTTCTGAGAAACTTCTCCTGTTATCTCATAAACATCGTCGAAGCAACCTGTTTCATATAAAACCTTCTGACCTAACTCAGATGCTCTCCAATACAATTTGACGTCAATTGGATGTCTCAATGGAAGTTTGTTTATAGCATCTTGAAGTTCTTGCAACCTCATTGGAAGTTCTTCTGGTTCAGGTTGGTATCCGAACAATCCAACTCCTTTTGGAATTGTGTACTTCTTTTGTACTAGAACTTTGTCTGGAACAACTTTTGGTCTTGCTAACAGTGAAAAGTTTGTTTCGTCTTTTGGTACAAAAGTTTCTGTCAGCTTGTCATCTGGAATTGGTTCCAACAAACCTTTCTCGAAAAGAATGTTTACAGCTCTGACAATGTTGCACTTGCCTTTTCCGAACAATGGGTTTGTAAGACTTTCGTTCAACATGAAGTGGTTGTGGACAATTACAATCTTCAACCATGGTAAGTCTTTGTCAACAACATAGTCGTCATGTGAAGAACCTTTAGCTGTAGGTATGTTGACTCGGATATTGACATTTGCCAACGGTGCAATTTTTGCCAATTGACCTCTGAGAATGTACCTTGTCTTCACACATGACTCAAGATACTTCATCTTCTCTCTGTAACAAGACCAGAGTTCCTGAGACATGTAAGAATGCAAGGTTCATTGACAATTGTTTCAATTGAATTGTAAATTCCATACCTTGTCAAGTCAATGTCAGACTTATTTATGAACGGGAAGTATCCAGCATGTTGTCTGACTGCTTGAGGGTTAGGTTGGTACCATTCAAATTTTACACTTGCAATTCCTTCAATTGCATTCAAAATGTCTGAGTCGGAGTCAACCATTTGTTCTCTCTTTGTAGTCTTGAAAGCGTCAAGAAGTTGCAGCTGTTGTGACATTGCCATGTGCATAGTAAATGTGACCGTCCAAATCTGTTATGGTTAGTCTGAGATTGTATCCTTTCTTATTTCCGTCTTGTATGGCAGCAAGTACACCCATGAAGCCTTCTTTGTTCTTTCCTTCGTCAAAGTTTACTGTAAAGGTTCGACCAGATGTAATTTGACTTCTAACTTCACGGTACTTTTCATATGCATATCTTGTTCTTTCCATGGGAGCATGTGTCTTCACCTTTTCCTTTTTTCCTTCTCAAAGGATGCAATTGTTCGTCATGTTTCCAGTAGAATCTGGCAAAGCCGTCGTGTCCTTCAACTTGAGGTTCACTAACATCGAAAGGCATGTCCATAAGACGTTCTTCTTCTAACCTCTCTAGTCTGTTTGGATAATTTGCGCGTGCTGTTTCCAATCCATTTCGTAGCGAAGACCAGACAATTTGTCATAGACTTTTATGGGTCTTCCCTTCCTATATTTAAAATTCTTCGAAACTTTCCAACCATATCTTTCTAACTCTGCTTTTATTCTAGCAGATTTTCTATCCATTCTATATGGGGGCATTTTTATAAAAATAAAAAAATATTTTTTTCTTTACTTTACATAACCACCTGCTGCCATAAGTCTTTGACGCCAACCCATACCAGCTAATGAAGGTTGACTTGGTTTAGTTTGGAAACTAAACTTTGGTTTTGGTTTATCTTCAGTTTTTGGTTTTTCTTCTTCTATCGGTTTTTCGTCACTTTTCGGTTCCTCTGACTTTACCTCACTTGCAGGAGTTGTGTCGTCAACATCTTCATAAATATCATATGCCATTTGTTTTTGTTTTCCTTTCAACTTTTTGTGTTTGTTGTAAAGTTTAGAATATTTCGACTCTAAGTCAATGAGATGTTCTATAATGAACTGTTGGTCAGTGAAGTAAACTTTTCCATCTGTTGTCTCGAAAGCTCCTTCAGACTTCAATATTTTATTTGTGAGAGTCTGTTTCTTTTTTGAGATACTAGCCGTTCCATTTCTATGAAAAGTGACTTTAGTTAGGGTTTGTATTTCCAGACCTGGCACTTTCTATTATTGAATTTTTCTCTTCATCTGTAAGTTCTTTGACAGGTTTTGACAATGGTTCTGAACTTTTTGTTTGTGGTGTCAAATCTACCGTTTCAACTTCTTCGGTCATTTCATCTCAGTAAAAAATTTTAGTTTGGTTTGTTTTCAACTGGTTGTTTAGGTTTTTTAAGTCGGTCTAAAACTTCCTGAGGTATAGGAAGAACTTGACAAACACGTGGTGTAACTGCTGGAAGCGACAAATCCATCTTGAACCCATTTGTCTCAATGCTGTATTGTTCATTTCATCTCAGTAAAAAATTTACATTCCCCACGTTTGAGGCGGTTGCGGTTGGTTATTGTTTACCCACTGTTGTGCATGGTTATATCCTCTGTTAAAGAATCTTTCACCTTGGTCCATATAGTGTCCTGCTTGGTTATAGTAGTCATTTGCTTTGTTATAGTAGTTTCCTGCTTGTCTTCCTACATTGTCCATCCATCCTTGAACTTTTCCTCTTGTTTCAGGATTTGGAATAAGATTTGCTGCATCTCGTGCTACATCCCAACCTTTCTGTACAGTTTGTATAATAGGTTGTGCTTTCTCTTTAAGTATACCTAATGTACTCAAAATCTTCCTTCCAACTCCAAATACACCTCTGGCTATTGTTCCCACTGCGGGCAAAAATCTGGATGCAACTCCTGCTAATGCGCCAAATAAACCCATTTCTTATGGGTTAAAAAATGACGAATCCAAACAAGGACCCCTATGTTTCTAAGGCAACAAAGAAAGCACTCATGATAAAAATCTTTAGTTCAACACCAAATGCTTGGTTTATGGATATCTTGGAAAACATTCCGAGGTATAGAGAAGATGGACCACCATACTGGCTAATATTTGTCGGTCAAAACACAAGATACTGTGAAGCCATACCATTACAGTCCAAAAATATTTTAGATGTGAAAACTGCTTTGACAATATTCGTTGACAAATACCATCCAACAAAACTGACATCTGACTGTGAAAGTTCTTTCAAATCAGACGATATTAAAAACTATCTGCGTTCAAAAAATGTAAACCAATATTTCATTGTCGACCAAAACCATTCTGCTCTTGGTGTCATTGACAGTTGTATAAAAATCTTAAGAGACTTAAACCAACCACAAGGTGGTGAAGCAAATGAAATGTCATATGACGACAAATATAGACACTTCTCCATGGCAAAGATGAGACAAGTTTTAAATATTTACAATAGCCGTAAACAAAAAGGTTTGGGAAACCACTCCCCCGAAGAAATGAAAAACAACCCTGACTTAGAGAAAGACTATATATTTAATAGTTTAGTCAAAAGAGACAAACAAGAAAGAATGCCAGGCTTCAAACTTAAGAAAGGTGACAAAGTAAAAATAGAAATACCTAAACGCGACCCATATGAAAATACTATTGACTATGACAACAATGGGAACTCGACAGGTACTCACATTCGTGTTCGTAAAAATAGAAGAAAGTATACAAGAGAATATTATGAAGTTTTAGGCAAACATGGCAAAATGTACACACTGCAAGCAGAAGATAAAACTACTATTGTCAGACCTCGTTTCAAACTTGTCAAAGTTCAAGGTGGTATACTTTCAAAGACAGTTCCTAACAAATATAAGACAACTCCTGACGAATATGCTAAAGAAGTTGAAAATGACGACTAAGCAATTCTATACCATGCGTAAACTGTCATGTAAGGTGGCATGTAGTCTTTACTTTGTCCCGTTGTTTGCGTATATCCTGAAACGATGTGTATGGTTTCCTTCTCCCTGAGTGTCATCCAGTAACAATTTATAGCAAACTTAACGTCGTCTTTAACATCATATCCTTTACCTTTTGTCATTCCTGACCAATCCCAAAATCTATGCTATGCCAACCTGCTTGAGATGTACTTAAATCTATGTAGTGACTGTGCGCAGGTAAATTTTCACCTGAAATCGTTTTACTTCCACCTGTTTCCTTTGAAGAGTTTGCACAATACAAAAACCTGTCGACTATTTGAGTCCAAGTTCCAAAACCAAGTACTACTTCTGGTCTGGTAGAGTTCATTGACGTGTAAATAGAACCTATAGGATATAATGTTTGAAGTATTTCTGTCTTTAATGTTTGAAGCTCTGTTTTGTCTGCTTTTTATATAACTTTTCTTCAAGTTCATTTACGTCAGAGATGCTATGTCTATGATATTTTTTGGGTATGTTCCTTCTGTCCATGTGAAAATATACTCTTTTGTTGCATCTACATATCCTATCCATGTCGAGTCTGCTTTTGTATTCCTTAACTCTGTAACACCTTTCTCAAGCTCTTTCAACTGTTGTCCATCTTCCATTAAACCTCTGGTATGACTTGAAACCGTTTGTGCCAACATATCTACAGTTTCTTTGTCGGCTTTAAGGTCTAAACACCTGAAACCCATCCTGTATCAGCTTTCGTTTTTAAAATCTTCGATGTCCGTTCATTATACCATTCAACCCTTTCTTTAATTTCATTGTCTTTTTCATCCACATATTCCTTATCTGCCTTCTTCACTAACGCACTAGCCACACATTCTAACTCATCGTTAACATATGTTTTATCTGCTTTCTTTTCAACATCCTCTTTTGTTGCATATGTTGCATCTGCTCTGTCATGTTCTTCTTGAACTTTTTCAATGACATATTCTTTGTCAGCTTTGTTGCCAACATCTGCTTTCAAAAGAAGTTCAGATATAGGTTTCTCGTTTAAAGTTCCTTTTGTTGGATTTATACAGACAGTATGGTTCTTATTGTCTTGAAATAGAAACTCATCTGTCATTGGGTTTAATGTCAGTTTTAAGTTTCCTTCTTTCAATGACTCAGATATCTTAGAATAGTTTGAAAAGTTTGTTGTGTTCTTATTTAGAGCTTGCATAATGAGTTGTCGGTTGTGTTGTATTTCTCTCATAGACGCTGTTTCTTTCGACATTTTTATTCTAGATAAAATATGCTTCCAATAGAAAAAGAAAATTCAAGAGTTGCTACAACTAAACCATTAGATGAACTTTTTACTAATGTCGGTCAAAAGTTTGAGACAGAGACCGTAAAGCATGAAGGCTATCGTTTTGACTACCCATTAAGATGGCTAAGAGACCCATCTGTCACAAAAGCTATTGGCTTTCGTAGAATGAAGTTTGTGTCTGTAGAAGATAAAAGTTTTCCATTTATTGTAAGGTTTCATATAGATTATATATCTGAAGGGAAACGAAAAATGTGGGAAGAAATTGAGCTAATACAAGTTGACCTTTCATCTTCTCTACAGACTGCGTTAAAAAATATAGAAGATAAAATAAATTCATGTTATGCAAAATATGCTGATGAATATGCAAATACCGAGAGCACACTTTATGTGAGAATTGTATATGACAAACAAAATTCACAAGTGTCATTTCAAATCTACGAAGACAATCCAAAGAAAGACGAACAAATATATACAGAATTCACTGCAATGTCATGGTATTATTTGCAAAGAATGTTAAATCAGAAAGTCGAACTTCCTTTAGCAAATATTTACAGTCGATATGCAAGAGATGAACCATATTTATTTAAAGATGTTTTCGACCCAGCTGCTATTATTGTTCATGCTTCATTTTCTGGCGCCCAAAACTCTTTCTTATGCTTGGCAAATGACTTTTACGAAAAACCTACAAAGTTATACGAACCACCAAGTGGAAGTATTTCAGACTTTCAAGTATGGTTTACTACAGATGGAAGAAAAAGAATAATTCCATTATACCATGCGTTTTACTTAGAACTTAGTTTCATATACAACTACTATCGAACGGTAAAAATATAATTTTTTAATACGGTTGAGGTGTTGGATTTGGTTGCCAACTAGACTGTGGTGCAGGTTCAGGCTGTTGTATAACAGGAGCTTGTTCTTCTGGTTCAGGGTCTTTAGGTATAATACCAACGAACTGACCTACTCTTTTACCAATATTTTTGACTCCGTTCCAAATTCCTCTTCCTACGGTTTTTATTCCATTCCATATACCTCTTCCAACTCTTCTGAAGAAGTTTCCTATCTTACTGAAGAAACCCATTTTACTATATGTAAAAATCTAATGTCCTAGTCTCTTACGTTTCCTGTTGAGTTCCATAGCATTCTTTAACTGGAGCTCATACATTCTGTTTCTCCTCTGGTAGAAAACATATTCTGGGTCAACTCCTGTGTTCGCGTCATCTGCATAAAGTTGTTTATATCCCACTTCAGGGTTTGTATAAAACTCTTTCCATCTCATATTTGCATACCATGGTGGCAAACCTAACGCAGCGTCATTTGACATGGCAGTTTGCATTTGTACATCTGTTGGCACTTGACCATAGTTTGCCATTGCAGTTTGTATTCTAACTTCATTTGGAATATTCTCTGGGTTTGGTTGTCCAGGTTGCTGTGCATTCGCTAAGTTCTGTGCGTCCATTTAATATTAGATAAAAATATCTCTTACGAGTACATATACTGAACATTTGCAGGCATTGGTTCATCTTCATATTCTCTGTACTTTTCTGCCACGTCAAATAAATAAATGACACAATGGAAAAAACCTAAAACAAGTAGTCCTATTTCAAACCACATTTACTTACTAATAAAATTTCTTTATTGTGACACTTTCTCCAGTTTATAGGACCTCTCTCATATTCTATCTTGTCATATATAAACTCATAGTCATGTATGTCCTCTAACCATCTCATAACGGTTTCCAAACCACTTTTATCGGATGTAAAGTAAAAGCATGGATGGTTATGTAAAACGTCTAAAGTTTCTAAAGAGTCTCTCAAAGTCCAGTCTACTTGGTATTGAAAATCCCATGTGTTAAAGAACGGCGGGTCCACTATAAAGAAAACATTTTCCTTGTCTTTATATTTTTCATACAAATCTGTCCAATGACATCTCACAAACTCTATACCCTCAATATATTTTTCTATGTCCTCTTTGAAAACATTTGTATAGTTAAGATATAAAACTTTTGACATAAGTGTTTCAATGTCATGAACTCTTATAGAACCACTATATAATAGTCTAGCAGATATACTATCCCAGTCTATATATTCTGCTTTTTTCAAAACCTCTCTCACAATATTTTTGTTATCTAATGGTATACGTTCCATCTTACCTATAGGTATCTTTTCTTTTAACTCTTTCAATATATTGTTTGTGTCTGGAATATGTTTGAGACGGTCCATATAGTTGTCGAAGTCATTGCATATAATCTTTGAGTCTGGGAATATTATATGGCACAAATGGGATATATAGAAACTTCCACCGAACAAATCTACAAATGTTAGACCATTCGGTAGTTTCTTAAGTTCTCTCAATATAATATCTTTACATTTACTCTTATTTCCAAAGAACGGTAACGGTGGTTTTGTAAAATTCATTTATATATAATAATAAAAATGTTTTTACCCGAAAAGTGACAGAAAAGTGACGGGGGGGCTAGAGGGCACGAAGTGCCTGGAAGCCCCACTTCCCTTTTTTTTTTTTTTTTTTTTTTTTTTTTTAAATCTTATTTTATATCTTTGAAAACTTTGTGTAAAATATTGGCAATGTAAAATTTTTATTTCGCTTCATAATGGGATTTTGGGACTGGCTCTTTCCTGAAGAAGAAGAACCATTGCCATATCCAGGAATGGAACAGTTTACTGTCGCCGTTTCCAATAAGGTAATGCCAGATGCCAAACGAGTTGACGAGATTTTCACAGAATTGATTAAACAACTTGAATTTGATACGGCCAAAAAGTACCAATTTGCAAAAGTTTCTGCACAAGAGAAGTGGGAATTCATTCTTGCACAAGAACGCCATGAGCGCAGAATTCCGACACCAGAATGGCTCATTATCAAGTTGCAGGAACATTTAGATACGCGTTATTTAGCATCAATTTCTCTCCACTTACGAACTGCCCGCCTTGTTTGGGTTGACAGGTTCTGCAAGAACGGAGGACCGATTATATTATTAAGAGAATTAGCAAAATATCAAGCTTATCATCAGCTTTTCATGGGATCCCTTGATTTCCCTCCCGAACCAACAGGAAAGATATTGCGCACACTCAAAGCTGTCGTAGACACACGCCAAGGATCTCAACAAATGACAAATCACATCAAGGCAGTCGAATTACTCATTCAATCTATCTCAATCTTCCAACCACAGCAATTCGAAACAATTCTCTACATTTTACTTCCATATGTTTTTATGGAACGTGGCCCAGCATTTATTATCGATGCACTTCATGATTTAGCAAAGAAGAACAATCTTAAAAACATTTTCAGAATCTTTTCGGACGAAATTTGCGCAGGAAGTGATCAAATTTTTGTTTCCTTCCTCACAGGTCTTTATCATGCGATTTCGGGCGATTACGCTCAAAGACTCCAGTTGTCTGTAGATTTCCACAAATCTGGTGTCGTTGATGCTTTCAAGACACGTAATGTCGAAAAAGATTTCAGAGATATTATCGAATCAGATATCAATGAAGTCAACCAAGTATTCCAAGGCCCAGTTGATGCCTTCTACCACGCAGATAAATTCGCTCAGGCAATGGAAGACACAACAGCTGAACAAATCCTTCCTCAGATCTTTTCAATCATGAGAAATCAAGCAGATAAGCATTTCGATATCGTCATTAAGTTCATCGTTACATTCTTCGAATACCTTCGTTACTGCATTCTTAATGGAATGGAATTCGAACGTGCTGCAAGCGATGCACACAGATTTGCTATGGCAGGATTACAAGTTCCAACTCCAACAGGACTCAACAATACATTTGCTATTGAACTTGCTAAGAAATACAATTTCACATCTGATTTCGAGTTAAAGGAAGCCAAAATGCCATCACTCCCAGAAGGTGGCCTCGAAGCAGAACTCGCCAGTGCTCGCGCAGAGATTTCTCGCCTTTCCAGTGAAAATGCTGCCGCTGTTCAAAAAGAACTTGATGCCAAAGTTGCTGAAAACGAGAACCTCAAGGCAGAATTGCAGAGAGTTACACAGAACGACGAGATCAGGAAGCAGAATGAAGATCTTATCGCTAGAATTGGCGAGTTGGAGACAGAACTTGCAGCTGCAAAGATGGCTGCTACAACACTTTCTTCCGAGAAGAACACAGAATCAACAGAACTCGAGAATCTCAGAGAAGAACATCAGAAGACTGTTCAAGAGAATGCCAAACTCGTCCAAGAGAACGCAAAGATGCAGGCACAGCTCGCAGAAGCACAAGAACTCGCATCAGCTCTCGTCTTCCAGCCACCAGAATACAAGGAGAACCAGATTCCTGGCCTCATCCAAGAACTCCAGTCAATGATGGCTGAATCTCCAGAGAGCATGAAAGGAAAGCTCGGAGAGATCATCAGAAAAGCACAAAGAGCTGATGAAGAAATCGAAAGTGAGCGCAAGTTGACAAACCAGTCATTCCAGCAGCTCTCAAACATCCATGGCAATCTCATGAAGTCTTTCAACGAGAACTTCAAGCAGTTCTACGCTGCTGCAGAACTCATGGAAGATGTCTATGTCACAAGAGATCTTGAAGGTGGTGAAAACGCAGAGAATGCCGAAGAAAAGGAAGAACTCAATGAAATCGTCGTTGTCATGCCATCAAAGATCGTCAACTCTGATGGAACAATCACAGAAAGAATTACAAATCCAGATGGAACAATCATCGAGAGAATCCGCAATCCAGATGGTACAATTGCTGGCCAGAGAATCATCAATCCTGATGGAACAATCGCAGAAAGAGTTCTCAACTACGAAGGCGAATTGTCTCAGAAGATTCAGTCTCCAGACGGTTCATCATCACAGAGAAACGAGACAAGACATGGTGTCATCAATGAGAAAGTCGGTGACAAGTCATCAACAGCCGAAAAGCACGCAGACAAAGATGGAACATTACAACAGAGAATCACAAACGAAGACGGATCTGTCATCGAAAGATCTGTTGCTAAAGATGGCACAATCACAGAAAAACTCTTCTCAAAGGATGGACAGTTACTTGCACAGAAGACAATTTCTTCAGATGGAACAATTTCAGAACGCAAGTACAACAAGGACGGATCATTCAAGGAGAAGATCATCAAGCCAGATGGAACAATCCAAGAAAGAACCGTCAACTCCGATGGAACAATTCAGGAAATTGCTGCATCAGGAGCAACAAAGAGAGTTGTCAACGAAGATGGCTCTGTCACAGAGAAGTTCGTCAGAATTGATGGAACAATTCTCGAGAGAACAGTTAATCCTGATGGAACAATCCAGTCCGAGAGATTGCTTAACGCCGATGGAACAGTTCCAGAAAGAGTTAACAACGCTGACGGTTCTATCACAGAAAATGTCATCAGAGCTGATGGATCAATCCTCGAGAGAATCTTGAACCACGATGGAACAATTCCACAGAAGAGTGTTACACAAGATGGCACAATCTCTGAGAAAGTTACTGTTGGACCAAACGCTACAAAGGAGAGATTCCTCAACGCTGACGGAACAGTTCCTGAAAAGAATGTTCAGCCTGATGGAACATCGCAAGAGAAACTCTTCAGAGCTGATGGCGTCATGATCGAAAGAACAATCGGTCCAAACGGTGCTCTCAAGTACAAGAGATACTTTAACCACGATGGATCTAATCCAGAAAAGTCTCAGAATCCAAATGGAACTATCACACAAAAGGTTCTTCGTCCAGATGGCTCAGTCTACGAAAGAATTCTCAACGGTGATGGAACAAATCCAATCAGATCATTCAACAACGATGGAACAACAACAGAAAAGGTCACAAGAAAGGATGGAAGAGCAGTTGAATACCACCTTTCCCACGATGGAACTAACTCCATCAGAACTCCTAACCCAGATAGAACAATCACTGAAACATACACTCGCAATGACGGAATTGTTGTCAAGAGAATTCTCACTCCAGATGAAATTCTCAAATCAGAACAATTGTTCAGTGCCGATGGAACACCAGCTAAGAAGACAACACTTCCAGATGGTTCCACCAAGGAATTATACAATAAAGTTGACGGAACACTTTTGGAGAGAACAATTTCACCAGACGGAATTGTTAAGTCAGAAGTTACTCTCAATAAAGATGGTTCTGCACCAGAAAGAGTTACAAATGAAGACGGATCTTATGTCGAAAAGATTGTCAAGGGCGATGGAACAATCTTAGAAAGAACATGCAACAAGGATAACTCTGTCAAATCAGAGAGACTCTTGAATCACGATGGAACAGAACCAAAGAAAGTTATCAATCTAGATGGAACAATTCTTGCAAGTGTTTCAAAGAAGGATGGCTCTGTTCTCGATGTCTTCTACAATGCAGATGGAACGCCAACAGCTAAAGTTCATCTCCATGATGGAACAATCGCAGAGAAGATTGTCAGATCAGATGGAACAATTCTCGAGCGCATTCTCAACCATGATGGCTCTGTTCCATCTCGTACACCAAACTCTCTTGGTATTTACACAGCAAAGATCATCAAGAAAGATGGAAATACAGCTGCAAAGATCGTAAACAGAAACGGAACAACACCAGATAAACTCCTCAACGCAAATGGAACAACAACAGAGAGAATTGTCAGAGATGATGAAATCATCTTCGAGCGCATTCTCAATCCAGATGGATCCCTCAAGTACGAGAGATTACTCAACTGGGATGGCACTGTTCCAACACGCCATGTCATTTCAGATGGAAGAATCATCGAGTTACTTGTCAGACCTGATGGAACAACTGTTGGTAGATTGCTCAATCCTGATGGCACTGAACCATCAAGAAAGACATTCAGTGACAGAACAACAACAGCTGTCATTGTCAGACCAGATGGAATCATCGTTGAGAGAACACTCAATGCAGATGGAACAATTAAATCTGAGAGATATCTCAACGCTGATGGCTCTGAACCAGAAAGAATTGTCAATCCAGACGGCACAATCTTAGAGAAAGTCAAGAGAGCTGACGGAACAATCCTTGAAAAATTGTTGAATGCTGACGGAACATATCCAAAGAGAACTGTCAACTTCGATGGAACACTTACAGAAGAAATCGTCAAGTCTGATGGTTCATCCTACACAAGATTGCTCAACGCAAACGGAACAATTCCAGAGAGGACAACAAACGAAGACGGAACAATCACAGAGAAAGTCATCAGAGCAGATGGAATCATCATCGAAAGAACACTTAATCCAGATGGAACACTCAAGTCCGAGAGATTACTCAACGCCGACGGTTCCGTTCCAGAAAGAAGAAACAACATGGATGGAACAATCAAAGAGAGACTCGTCAGATGCGATAATTCCATCAGTGAGAGATTACTCAATGCTGATGGTACAGTTCCAGTTCGCAAACAGAATGATGATTCAACATTCACAGAAACGGTCATCAAAGGAGATGGAACAACCCTCGAAAAACCTCTCAATTTCACTCGCATGTATCCAACAGCTTATCCAAACGAGGAAGACGGAACAACAACAGAACTTGTTGTCAAGGCTGATGGCATCATAATCGAGAGAACAACTAACGCAGATGGAACAATCAAATCAGACAGATTGTTGAATGCTGATGGCTCTAATCCAGAAGAGAAGAAGTTGGAAGATGGATCAACAGTCATCATCGTAAAGAGAGCTGATGGAACTGTTCTCGAGAGAACACTTAATCCAGATGGATCAATCAAATCAGATGTTACAAGAAACGCTGATGACACTGCTCCAGAACAAATCACAAATGAGGATGGAACAATCACAGAGAAGATCCGCAGAGCTGATGGTGTCATCATCGAGAGAACATACAACCAAGATGGAACAGTCAAGAAGGAGAGATTATTGAATCACGATGGATCTGTTCCATTAAGAGTTGTTAATCCAGATGGCACTGTTTTGAACAAAGTCATCAAATCCGACGGATCAATTCTCGAAATCTTCTACAACCACGATGGCACGAAGCCAATGAATGTTATCAACCCAGACGAGACAATCACAGAGAAGATTGTCAAGTGGGATGGAACAATTCTTGAACGTGTTCTCAATCATGATGGAACAGTTCCAGTTAGAACTCTTTCTCCAGATGAGATCTACACTGCAAAGATCATCAAACCAGATGGAACATTCTTCACAAAGACAGTCAACGCAAATGGAACATCACCAGAAAGATTCATCAACGCTGATGGCTCTGTCACAGAAAGAGTTATCAGAGCTAATGGAACTCTCCTTGAAAGTGTCTACGACAAGGATGGCAAATTATTGTCACAGAGAATTATTAATCACGATGGAACAAATCCAACAAAGTCCATCAACGAAGATGGAACAATTACAATGCTCATCAGACGTCCAGATGGAACAATCCTCGAGATCCTTCTCAATCACGATGGCACTGCTCCAAAGAGAACACAAAACCCAGATGGAACATTCACAGAGAGAATCACAAGAGCGGATGGAATCATCATCGAGCGCATTGTTAACCCAGACGGATCAATTGTTTCAGAGAGATTACTCAACCAAGATGGATCAGATCCAGAGAGAATCACTAATTCTGATGGCACAATCACAGAGAAGCTTAAGAAGGCTGACGGTGTCATCGTAGAGAGAACCCTCAACCCAGATGGAACAGTTCTTTCCGAGAGATTATTGAATGCTGACGGAACAGCTCCACAGAGAATCACAAACCAGGATGGAACAATCACAGAGAAGATCAAGAAGGCAGACGGATCGATCTTCGAGAGATTGCTGAATGCAGATGGAACAACTTCTCCTGTTTTGATCCACGAAGATGGCAGAATGACTGTCACTGCAAAGAGAGCAGACGGAATTATCATCAAGCGCATTCTCAGACCAGATGGTTCTATCGAATCAGAATCACTTCTTAACGCCAATGGAACTGAGCCAACAGTTACTACTAATGCTGATGGAACTACAACAATCAGAGTTGTCAACAAGGATGGAATCATTGTTGAGAGAGTTCTTAATCCAGATGGCTCTGTCAAGTCAGAGAGATTACTCAATGCTGATGGATCTGTCCCAGAAAGAGTTGAAAACGAAGATGGAACACTCACTGAGAAACTCATTGGAAAGGACGGAACAATCATCGAAAGATTACTCAATGCAGATGGCTCTGTTCCAACAAAGATCTTCAATCCAGATGGAACAGTCATGGAGAGAATCAGAGGAAAGGACGGAAAGTTCATCGAGAAGACCATCAGACCAGATGGAATCATCAGCCAGAGATTGGTCAATGCCGATGGATCTGCAACAGAAAAAGTCGTCACAAAGGATGGAAAGATCCTCGAGAAAGTCTACGGAAGCGATGGCAAGTTACAGGTCGAATTAGTCATCTCCAACGACGGCTCAATCAACAAAACATTCTACAACCCAGAAGGAAAGGTTGTCAGGACGAAGCATGTTCTTCCTGATGGCTCAATCAAGGAGAGAATCAACAACGATGACGGAACATGCATCGAGAGAACAGTTGCTAAGGATGGAACAGTTACAGAGAGGAGATACGAGAAGGATGGATCTTACACAGAAAAGATTATCTCAAAGGATGGAACAATCACGGAAAAGACATATTCTCCAGATGGAAAAGTTCAGAAAGAAATTTCCTTCTTCACAGACGGAAGCTATTCAGAATGGATCCGCAACCCAGATGGAACATTCACAGAAAGAAAGGTTTCAAAGGACGGATATAGTGTCGAGAAGTCTCTTGACAAGGACTATAAGGTCGTCAGCGAAAAGAACTTCAGAGCAACATCACCAGGCCAGAAACTTCTTCCTCGTTCCAAAGCTCATGCTGGAGAACGTCGCTCATCAGTTACTGGTGGAAAGACAAGAAGAATGCCATGGAAGACATTACAAGACAACAGAGGCATCTGGGCCACAGTTTCTCAGACACCAGCTGGAGCAGATATCAAAGGAGTTCTTGCAGAACAATTTGCTTGCCAAGTACCTCAAGAAGGCCGAATTCTCACCCCAGAATCAGCAGCCGCTTATCAAGAAGTTCTCGAGAAGGCAGGATTGAAACCAGAAGAACTCGCTCTCAATGTTAAGAACGAGCAGTTCTCTGTTTCTATTGCAACACTGGAGTGCCTTCGCAGATTACCATCTCAACCAACAGAATCTGTTTTGTTTACACAAGACAAATTACCAGAAGACGCGACTGATGCCGAAAAACTTGCAGTTGCTTTAGCAGCTGTCCCAAGATGGCGTTCTTCTGTTGAAGATATGCTCGAGCATCACAAGTTCGATGATGAAATTGTCATCATCCAGTCACAGCTTACAAAGGTTGAGACAGCAATGAAACAGATTGCTAAGTCCAAGTTCGTTGCAACACTACTTAAGACAGTTCTTGCAGCAGGAAACTTCTTGAACTGTCAAGATTCAATTGCATTTTCACTTCAAGCCCTCTTCAACTTGCGTGGAATGAAGACAAACGATGGAAGAGATTTAATCCATGTAATCGAGCCTGCAGTTAGCGAGATCGATGTCGATGCCGATAAACTTAAAGTCATTGCAACAATCGATCTCATCGCTATCACAGGAAGACTCAGAGCAGCTCAGTCTTCTCTTGCAAGAAGACAAATCTCTCCATTTGTCGTTGCTTCCGCAAGAAGAGTTTCAAATGTCATCAAACAAGTTGGAATTCTCACAGATAATCTCGCTGAAATGACATATAACTTTGGCTTAGATTACGGATTGCCTGGAGCACAAACATTGTTTGTTGCCATTGCTACAGCAGCTGCCGATATTGCCAAAGCTAGGAAGGAGAAGAAGCTTGGCATGAAGAAGGTCTCTGCTCCTCAATCTCCAAGCGAAAAGGTTGATGATATGGGACCAAAGTCCTCTCCAATTGCTGAGAGAGGCATGATTAACACAATGCTTACTGCAATTAAGACAAAACCTCCGCCAAAGCAGCTCCCAGAACAGCCAAAGGAGGGACCAACTGATCTTGAACTTGCATTTGCAAGGGTTAGGAAGAATATCAACAAGAAATAATTTTTATTTTATTTGAACTACGTAATTTAATAAAACAATTGAAAGTTTATTATATGGTTTTTTAATGAATAATCAGTTTTATTGCTTCGGTTGTATTAACGCTAAATTAGAGGATTTAATAAATTTTCTATATCGGCACTGCAAATAATATCTCTTTATTTAGCTGAATGTGGCGTTTATACTGGAAAAATAGGGTTTTTCAGAGGGAGCAAAAAATGCGCAAAAACGATTATTTAAAATTGAATTTGCACATTTTTGTGTATTTGAAAAATATTGGAGTTGGCCATTATTAAAAATCAAATCCATTAATAAAGAATAGCAACAGTTGCATATGCAAAAAATATAAAAGAAAAAATTCATTTATTTTTGACTACTTTATCTTGCTTAACTTATTCCTTCAAGCGTTTATTTATTCATTAGTCCAATGAGTGGTGAAATTAATAAGATTATTCAGCAAAATCCTCAGATTAATGAAATCATATTGAAATCTAAGAATATATTTCCAACAATTTACAATATTATTGTAGATTTATCACTTTATGATAGCAATTGATAAATATATATATATATATATAATACATTTAACGTTTCATGGCCTTTTTTCGATTAAAATTATTTCATGAAATATGGATTTATCTAAAAAAGAAAACAATAAAGGAGATAAAAAATTATCAATAAAATTGGTATCCATTTCAAGAATAATCCCAACGTTCTTAATAAAAAGCAGTGTGGCTCAGGAGCTGAAGTGCATCCTGAAAACCGAAGCAATTTCAGGATTATTTTGCCATTTTCACTATTATTTGAATATTGAAGTGCATAATCTAATGCCGTTTTTCCATTATTATCTACTTCATTGAGTTTTACACGAATTTCAACTAAATATTCAACAACATCAAGAAATCCATTAATTACAACCAAATGAAGAGATGTATATTTATTTAATGTTTTATCGTTCTTATTGCAACCGCATTTAATTAGTTATTTGACAATATTTAGATGACCATTTTTTGATGCAAGAATTATTGGAGATTCTCCATAAATGTTTTTGACATGGAGGTCTAATCCAAATGAAATGAGATACTTAACTATTGCAAAATGACCCCGTATTACTGCGATCATTAACGGTGAACATCCATCATGCGTTATTTGAGCTGGATTTCCTCCCATAGAAATAAGATATTTGACAGTTTCAAGATGACCATTTAGTGATGCAAAATAAATGCAATTTAAATTTCTAAAATTTGATGAATTTGCATCACAGCCAATACTTATCAAATATTTCACTACTTTAAGATGTCTGTTAGATGAAGCAGCCAAAATTGCTGTACTACGCCTGGTTTTCTTACGCCAATTTTTGTCAAAGCCAACTGAAATCAAATATCTGACAATCTCAAGATGTCCTGCAAGTGATGCTTCAAATAAACAATTTCCCTCCCTATCATTTGTGCATTTGCGATTGCATCCTCCTTCAATAAGAGATTTAGTTAATTGATAATCTCCATTAATACATGCCGCAATAAGTGGAGTGTTTTCATTTCCATCCCTAATTTCACTTAATCCAAGCAAGCATGACTTTCTAATCATCATTTTATCTTTATTATCTGAAATTGTTTTCAGAAAACTGTATGCTGCATCAAAATTATTTGAATTCTTTAATGAAAAGATTGTGGTAAAATCATTAGATGCTCGTATTAATTGTTCATTTGTATTTTGCAATGTTGAAATATCGCTTTTTAATTGTTTGATTTCATTATCTTTTGTACCATTTGATTTATATTTTTCTAAAAACTCTATCAAAGATTGCGATGATTCAAGTTTCAGAAATTTTTTGTAGAAATGAAGAATCTCTAAAACATCATCAAAGCTATTAACAGTAACTTTGGCTGATTTTCGTTTTGATTTTTCCAGTGAAAGAAGTTCATTATAGCTAATTGAATCAATCTTAGCTTTCTCGATAGCTTGTTGGGAAATGCTTTTATCAACGACATCATAAAAAATTCCATCTTCGATAAATGAATGGACATTGTTAGCAATTTGATTCATATCATTAGCATGTTCATAAGACATCTAACGTGAATTAAACTACAGTTTTTAGAACGATAGGACATTCAAATTAAATTTTTGAATTTACAATATCTTTGGTAGGAGTTTTTATTTGATTCATTCATTCCGAAGCACACTTTATCAAGAATCATCTCACCTATCATTTCTGTCGAAGAAGTTAAACCAGAAACAATAGCATCATCGGTAAAAGCATTAACATACATTTTACAATCGTGGCCGGGCCTTTTAGGCTTCATTATTCCATCAAAAACTTTTGAGGACATTGCAATCTGTATTGAGCATGATACAAAATCTATTTCAACCATTCTTGCAAATACTCTCGAAGCTTGGCACAAGAAACCAACTGTTTTGACAGGATATATCGGATTTTTACTTTATCAGCTCCGTTCAAGCGGCCTATACGATATTCTCAAGCAGAAGCTTCCTACAAACGATCCTGCAATCCGTTTACTTGAACCTTACGAGTCATTTGATGCTCCTTATACAGAAAACAAGGAAATCTTCATTTCATCCTCGAACAATGCCGAAATATTACGAGCTACTATGAAACCAGTCCAAAACAACCGAATCTTAATCAATTGTCCCGAATTACCTCAAGATAATACCGGCTGGGACTGGAACTACATCTACAACTACCTTACTATTGTTCTTCCAAACAATCCTAAAGAAGCATACGGAGCTCCACAGACCGTTTTCTACAAAGATTTATTAAATTATTTCAGTGGCCCATTTATGACGATCGAACCTACTCGCACGCACGATGTTGCTGATTCCTTAGTTGCTCTTGTTAAACTCCTTCTTTCCAACGACACTGGTTTGAAGATGCTTGAAAATTGTGTTAATTTCAAGAACGCGCTTACACTTTCAGTTCATTCGCTTAGGAAACACGATTCCCCACGTAATGACAGTACCGCATGGTCTCATTTCCGAACTGTCTGCATGATGATGACTATGTCACAAGGAATTGGAATCCTTCAGAAGTGGGACATCCAACCGGCCCTTATTACTCTTTCCTCGGCAATCACAAACATTCCTTCCGCTACATTTGCGATGTCTATGCTTCAACTTTATCCAGAGTTCGATTTCGCATCTCCCGTCTACATGAAATTCATGTTATCTCCAAAAGTCGAAATCTCCCACATTGCGATTCAATCTCTTCGAGAGAAACGTTTCGTGAAGAACTATTTCGAAACAGCATTCGTTAACTTGATCATTCCATACTTTAAACAACTTGTTTCAACATTCAAACAAGACCAGATCAATCAACGAATTTCCCCAATCTTGCAACTTTTATATGAAGTTGTTCAAGACGATCCTAAAGCTACAGAATACTGTGCAAACGACAAAGAAGTTCACAGCATCCTTTGCAAGTACGGTCCCATTGGATACTCTTACATCTTCTCCACTCCAACAGCTCTGAGCAACTGCACAGTCAGCGATGTTGTCGATTGGTGGATGGAAGACGGAAACAATGATTACTTCCTCGCATTCGACAAAGCTGTTGAACAGTCATTCCTCAAGAAACCGAAACCTGCCGTTGATGCTTATCCAGGATTGACACCATTAGACGAAAAGACTATTGTTCTTCCTCCTCATTTGTTCGGAATGATGTCAAAGTATGAGAAGGGTGTTGAGATTCTTGCTGAACAAGTTCCATATTTGATCCAAATTCTCGATAACAGTGTCAACATCGATGATATTCGTGGTGCAATGTTTGCATTGGCACATTTCGCATCATCCCTTTTATCTCTTGAATACGTGAAGAAGTACAACATTCCAGGAAAGTTACTTGAGACGGCGACTAACTCAAGTTCATTAGTAATCCATTGGATTTCATTATTTATGTCATTTGATATTTTATGAATTGTTAATATATGACAATGTTTCCAAATTGGGAGAGTTTTCAATTTTCAAATCAGATTTTGAGAGAATTTGTAAATTCTATCGTTTTTAATTGATTTCTTTAAAAATGCCATAAAAAAGTAATCATTTCTTGTTTTCATTGGTGTTTTATAAATTAACATAAATTAGCATTAGATATGCATTTGAAAACGTTAAAAATTATTGATTCCGAAAAATTGTTAAATGTTATTTATGTTTCAGTGCTTTACGTAAGTATTAATTTCATTAAAAACATGACTTTTACATGGTATAACAATAATAATACATTAATTTCTTATTTGGACATAGAATCCAAAAGTTCTCTTCCTTTTTGATAGAAATGCGACGTGTGGGCATTGTTCTGATGATTTCAGATCGATATTTTGATCTACCATCAGAATCTCTTTCACTTTCTGTTGTTGATGATTCTGTTGTAAATGGATGATAGTTTCTATTATCATTTACTGATATTGGTCTTCCATTATGGAAATGTGTATTTTCTAAAATTGTTTGTGGTAAGTAAGCGCTAAAGGTGTTTCATGCTTAATAGCTTGTGTAATTTTGATGCAGGGGCAGAATTTATTTGAATAATCCTTTCTCTTTCAACCTTTGTAACGAAATTGTGATCAGATCCGGATCAATAACTTTTTTTTGACTAGTCAAAATATTTTCATTCAAATCAAAAGTGCAAAAGAATATTAATTCATTTTAAAATGATGAGTGATAATCCAGATGAAATAGTTTGTAATAATAATACAGTATACATGGAAGCATCAACAGAATTCCTTGAAATGCTCAAAAAAGTTAATGATCAAACTCTTGTGGATAGGTTTTCAAATAATATATACGGGAAAACTTTTCCAGAACTTTTCACAGACTATGCACAAGAGGCTAATAATATTTTCAAATGTTTTAAAGTATTTTGCAAGGAATCAAATAATCAGAAATTGAATGAATTATAATCGCTAATATCAGCAATCGAAATATTTCTATCCTTCATTTCATCCTTCAAAGAAAACCAAAATTATACTCAAATTTCCAATATTTTCAAGAAAATGTTCTGTTTAGCTATTGAACCAACAAAAACATCGGTTAAACTCAGCGAATTTTTCATTGCCTCATCAAAGCTTTTGTATGCAAAGGATACTGTAATATATATTAATGAAAATAATCGGGAAGTTTTCACCTTTATTCCAATGATCTGCTCAATCCTTGCTTTGAAGAACAATATGAAAAATCCTTTCATCATGATGATTACACAGAAAAAAGATTCACTTGATGAAATAGCAACATCCTTAACTCAAAATCTTTGCAATGAAGCTGAAGTTGAGACTGATATAGCAAAAATGACTGAATTATTCAAACAAGAGAATCATGACAAGCCAATTATTGGCATTTTTACTCCAAGAGACCTTCTTTTGATTATGATGAAATGCGAAAATGATAAAATTGATATTATCAATAAAACAAGATTTTGTGTCCATGATTTTGCCAGAAGATCAGTTTATATGGATGTATTAAACACAAAATTGGCATTAATTTCCCAAAGAATGTCCATTGAAAATCATGTCATTCTGCTAATCAATGTCTGATTCTGCTAATCAAAAATGAATCTTATGAATCAATGTCTGATTTGTTGGTGAAAGGTATATCTTATGAATTTCTAGATTTGAAGAGAATGGGAATACATATAGAAGATTGTAAACTTTTTGATGAGACTCCACAAGAAAAAATGAATTTGATGTATAATGAATTAGTGAAATCAAAAATTCTTGTAAAAACAGAAGGATGCTACTCATTTTTGAATCCATTTTCTTCGAAGAGAAGTGTATATACTCTCACTCCTCTTGGCGAAAAAGTGGCAAATTTCCCATTTTCATCTTACATTTCATTAGCAATTACAACTCTCAGTGAGCAGTATGGAGTTGATGAAAAAATTGCAGCTCTTCTTGCTTCTCTTACAATGTTGATTCCAAACATTACAATAACCAAATTAACCTCGAAACTATTAATCAAGAATTTCGAAAGGGAATCTGATTTTGCAACAATCGTAAAATCATTATTTGATGTTATGATAAACAATGGTGAAACAATTGATCCATTAGATAACCAATTCACACAAAAAATGATTTCTCAAATTGAAACATTTCTCAAAGAAATTGCTAATAAGTTGGGCGTAAACTATGAGGGAATTTGGATACAACTGAAAGCATTTTACGATAGATGCGATTATATTAACACATTTGCACAAAAACTCTTCAAATTGATAAGTGATAACAGCATTGATGGCGAATGGGGTAGAGCAAGAACTAGTTCATTTAGCACAATTTCCATGTTCAGAAACCAATTTTTCGCTAGTTACAATGGTAATGAACTTGTGAATTTTGATAAGAATGACTCATATATTACAATATCACAAAGACCGGGGCAAGTATCTCTTGATTTCCCTTCAAATGCATATATTGTAAATATAACAAGAAATACAAGTCTACATCGTATCGACGGCAGTTTCATTCATATCAATAATGGCCCAAATCAAGGTCCTCATCCGCAGTCCATTGTTATTGAGCAATATCTTAACAATCCATTCTTTACAGCCGTTCTCCAAGGCTATTTGGGAAAAGAAATGAAGGAATTAATCAAAATAAACGGTTCAAATGGAGATGCAAGTAATTATTTCTATATAAGTGAAATTGATTCTGAACACTGTTCATTTAATTTCTTTCCGAGGAATTCAGATGTTGCTGATGAAGTTATCACTGCTGTTAATAATCTCAAATGCCTTGCTCCATATATCGGACAAACGATTTTAATTCAACATCCAACTCTCAAATCATGCATATCATTAAAAGCATATGGAACTGATAAGTATGAAAACCAAATCATTAAATATGATGATACAAAATTGCATCCTTATAATATCAATAAGAACACAATTTCTTTTCTGTTGAAATATATTAAAGAAATTCCGAAATTTGGATATTCAAAATCAATTGCATTTACTGGTGAAGATATGATATTCTCGCTGGATCCTAATGAACCAATCGAAGAAGATGGAGGAAATATTTCTAATCCAACAACGTTTTATGGGTGTAAATCTGTATTCGGAATGAAATCACATCTTGTAATATTATCAGATCAATTAATTCCAGATGAAGTTGAATTAGAATGGGTTGGCGATCATTTTAATGATAAACTACAAGATCAAGATTCAATAAGGAATAAATATGTTGAAATGCATGTTCATAAAACTGCAATTGCAGTATTATATTCTCAAAATAATAACGTAGAATATATCGGGCAATTGGCACGCATGAATTATTTCAATATTGATCATGATCAATCGAAATCGCCTTTAGTCAAAATTATTAACAAGTTCGAACTTGGATGTATTAAAAGCAATCATCTTATAACAGAAGAAGTTGAACAAAGGTGACAAGATACAAGTTAATAATTTGAATGTCGATAACTGCTACAAGAGTCACAAAATTATTACTAACCTTAGAACAATAGTGAAATTCATGAATTATTTTGATGATAAAGGAATTTTGTATAGGAATAGTAACAATAATAATGGAGTCCCTATTTTATTAATTAATAATCAATCAAAATCAATTGAAATTACAGAGCATGCAATGAAATTATTGAAACCGTTTGGATTTCGTTCATATGAAATCATTACTTCTTATGACGTTTTCATTTCAAATCTATCAAAGTATAGATTATCTAATATAGAATTCGAAAAAATCATTTCTAGTTTCAGCAACAAATTCGGAAAAATCATAATTGAGAAATGTCCTATTGATGTGAATTCAAAGAACAACGATATTTTATGCCAAAAGAAGCTTGTTATGATGTCTCCGGCATTCATTAATCCATTCATTAATGAAATTAAAGGAGAATTGTATAAAAATGCTCCAAAGCGTTTGATTATTCCACCAGATGTTGCTCCATCTATTATTGTCAGAGTTCCTATTGTTATGAAAGCTGTTTTCGATTGGGTAAAAGAGAATAAACTCAATCTAAAATTAGATAACGGTGCAATTTTTGGTAAAACAAAAGATGTGGAAAATGCCTTGAATTTGATGAAAGTCAATAAACCAAAAATACCATTCAAAGCATATCCAATTCCTCATGGATATGATATCAATAGATTAGCTTTGAGCAAAAAGAGGTACTATTTTGTTAACAAAGCTACCAAAGAACTATTTGTACCAGACACAGAAACAGATGAAAACATATTAGAGTATCTCCAGCAATTCCAAAATGATACTCAGTCAAAAACAGACAAAACACTAGGCAATGATGAAATTCCTAGCGTTCTTGCAGATGAAATTGGATGCTGCGAAAATCCAGCTACACAATCAAAGAATCCTGTGAATATATTCTTCAAAGATGGAACAGTTGTTTCACGCCCAATTTGTCTCACCTGTGCAAGAGATGCAATTAAATATTCATCACTCAAAAATTTAATTGATCAAAATGATGAGATCAAAATTGATGAATTATTAGAAGTTTCTGAAATTATTGACGAATTCTCATTATATCCTTGCACTATTGATACAACAACGCAAATTTATTGGCCAATTATTCCGTTTTGTCAATTCATGTGGACATTATTGTCATCTCCAATATCTAGTCAAACAGCTCGAGCATACTTCACTGTTATAGTTTCGATTATGATTCACAAATCCCCAATGTTTGTGTTTTGCCCAATTCATCCTAAATACTTGTATAATGCATCAATCAAAAAATGTAGATGCTTGGTTGAAGGATGCAATCAAATACTCTGTATATATTGCAAGCAGTGGCATGCGAAAAATGATAAATGTCCTGCCAAAGAATTACTTACCAAAGTACCTCCAGGATTTCGCAAGTGTCCAAATTGTGGTCAATTTGTTGAAAAAACGAGTGCATGCAATCATATTTCTTGCAGCTGTGGAAAACATTTTTGCTACTATTGTGGCGCTGGTCCATTTAACACAAGTGACGAATGCTATGATCATATGAGTAAGACAGAAAATGTTGAAAGATCGCCTGGTAGGCATTGGGAATTCCCTCCTGATTGGTATAGGTATATTGAGAAACCCCATCCTGTCTCTGATGATGTTTTGAACAGATTTTTTGATGCCTACCCGCAATTTAGGCCTGTATAATTAAAATTTATTTTTTATTTATGAAATTAATATTTTTCAACAGCATTATTCCATGACTTGTTGTCATATAGAAAACTCGTCAAAAATTTTACATATATAATGATGGACAAGCTTCCATATTTAATTATTGAATGAAATCAATTTTCCAAGAAATAAATGAGAAAAATTTATAATTCTACAGGTAGATTGTGGATTAGAAGTTAAACTATAGCATTACGATTATGGTACTTAATATCTATTCTTGATGTGAATCATAAGTTTTATAATTTGAGAATATGTACGTTTAGACATAGTATGTCTGATTGTGATCCTGCTCAACTAATACAAGAATTCGACCAAGAAGCTGCATCTAGGAAAGAAGTCATTCTTAAAAACATGGAAGCTGCAATAAATAACATGCTCAACGCTCTCGAAATATCTTTATTATCAATTCCTGATTCTGTACGAAAAATTCCGATGAAACGGCTTGTTGAGGAGTTTGGTGGTGATATTCAAAAAGCAGCATGCGCGCTAATTCCGAAATCTCCAATAAAAACTCCTACGAAAAGACAAACTACCCCAAAGAAATCTCCAAAGAATACATTATATCAAAATGCTTCTCTTTTAGATCTTTTAAACCAAAAAGCTCAACTTGCGCAAAAATCAGCTGGAAGAAAAACTCCTACAAGAGGGCGTCTTCCACCTAAGTTGCCAGCATCAAGTGCAAGACCTAAAACTCCTACTAGAGAAAAACTTACTCCAAGGAAAATTGCGGCAAAATTATAATACCAATGCTTTTCACTGATCTATCTGTAAAATAATAATAATTCTTTCTATGTTATTTCTAAAATGTTATGTACAATCTATATTTCATCTTTTATTCAGGTATATCACACTTTGCGATTAAAATTTCACTTGATAGATTCAAATAAGAGAGTAATAAAAATAAATTGAAATACTGAAATAGATATAAAGTATTTAATCTATAATATAAAAAAAAATAAATTAAATTATAGAGATAATTCTATCCTGAGTTGTCCAAGCAAAAATGTATGTTCCGTTTCTAACTAATTTCACAATTCCTACAGTCGAATCTTCAAAAATCTTCATTGATTTTGGCATCAATCTCATTCTGTCAATGGCAACAACTTCGATTGATCCATCTTTATATCCAACAAAAATACCATCATTATGTTTGATCATGCAAGTTGCTTCCTTCTGCATCTGCATCTCGCAAATATCAGTGTTGGAATATGTCCTAACTACCAATCTCTTTGGCATCAAAATGCAAAATGCCAAATATTTCTCAATGAAGATAATATCAATGATTCCGTCCATTTCAACTTTATCTAAGGTAGTTCCTCGAATTGGATGCCATAAAACATAGTAATTCTTCATGAATGAAATAGCAATTTGCATTGTACTGTCAATTCTGGATCTAACTGTGTCTTCGAAAACTTTTGATCCAACTTTTCTTACTCCTAAAAAGTCACCAACAATATCTATGAAGTAAACTGATGAAACAAAGTTTGCGTCATCAACAACAATTAAGTTTCCATCTTCGGAACAAGACATTGCTGTAGCGTCATTGAAATATGTTGTATAGCATCTCATGCTGTTGACTTTTTTGATGTGAAGAACAACAGAGTTTTCTTGAGGCATAACAGCAATCTTTCCTCTGCAAAATGCTCCATCAAAACTTTCTTCTAATTGAGAGAAATTCGGTTTTGGTCTAATTGATGAATGTTTCTGTCTAAAAAGCGCTTTCTGTTGTTCTTTGTCATCATCTGGTGTCTTCTGGATCTTTGTTGGATGTGGTTTTCTGAATATCTGTTGTGGGCATTGTCCTAAAGTAGAAATTTGGAGCTCTACAATTGATCTGTCATCAGAAGATGAAATTTTATGAGGATAGCAAATCGGATCGTAGATATTTCCAATATGTTCTGCTTGGGATCCGCTCTGGAGGTATCCGAAAATCAAGTCAATCCAGAGATTGATTTTCTCTGAATTGTTGAGGATTTCGCGATTTGCCATTACGAATTGACAAGGTCCGGATTGGCACCATTTCGGAAGCATAACATCTCTTGTGTTAAGTTTCGATCTGTTGACGAACATTTCTGGTAAACAGAAGAATTCTGGAATCAATTCTTTGCAGTCATTTGGCTGTAATTCACTTGCATTTCTCCAAGAAACTCCCAAATCATGGAATGTCTTTGTAGAAACTTCCCAGCCATTGTTTACATCCCATTCGATCAATGTATGTGGAGGGCATCTCAACAAGAAATGATGAATAGCAGAAGACATTGAATAATGGCTAGGAATAATGTATTCTGTCTTTTTCTCCAATCTCTGTTTCATAAAGTTCTTTGCTCTTTCTTCTCCTATCATTCCCATTGGTTTTTGAAGATCTCTAACATCATTTTGATTCGAAATATCAAGAGTGGCATCTGAATAATTCGAAATTACCCATGGGAAAACAAAATATTGTGAGTAATCAGAGAAAGATCTTCCTGCAGCAAAATTGACACCAAGCAGATACTTGAAAGTTGTCAATGCACTTATCTGCCATTGTTCGGTCATCATTGCTAATGGCATGTTAAAAACTTTATTGTTTATGAACCTGTAATCGTAGTTAAATGCTGTAATAATATGTGGAACATTATTTCCTTGGAAAATGATATTAAAGTCAGTTCCATTCCAGGTATGTATCTCTGCACAGTTGTTCTGATAGTTGTATGTTCTCTTTCTGACAAGTAAAATGTCGGATTTGTTAACAGTGACTGCGAAATGTCCACAGAAAAGTGAAACTTTTCCAAACATTCCCAAAGTCATTTGATGAGAAAGAGCTGAATAACAGATTGGAGAAATGTAATCTTTCATAAGTTTCAGTTCATTCGTGTTCTCGAAAGAAGCTCCAATTAATACAGTTATCTTCGTATTGTCAACAAATGTGACAGATTGAATTGGATCTGAATATTTCAGGAATTTGCAATTGTAAATTTGAGGTATCTGCGAGAACTTTCTGACGAAGCTGTAATACATTGACTTGGTTGAGTTCGACATTGAAGAAGAGCATCTTATTGGTAAGAAAGCACTATTCTTTGAATATTTCTCCAAAGTTGCGAAAACTGTGTATTTCTCATTATAGAGTTTAATGTTGTTTCCTGTTGTGAAACAAATTGTTTGAGGTAATTGATGAGTGTACAATTCAGGTCTTGATGTTCCTACACCAAATTTAGGAAGCTTAATTGGAGATGGTGTTTGTATCAATGGACAATCACCTGGCCATGTGTGCTCTCCCATCATGTAGCAGTTCCTTTGAACGCTTGAAAGTTCGATCGAATTAATTTGCCAGAACAAATTCATTTCATCTTCTTCGATCTTTCTAAGGGAATCATCCTTGTAGATATCAGTGATTGTCTTCAAGATTGCAGGAAACTTATTAACAGACTGTACATGTAAGTTCATTCCGTTATAGATTTCATTCAATGTATCATGGAACTCGAGCAAATAATCAGAATTCTTGAAATTCTTTTGCCAGCTGTCATCGAATTCTCCAAAGAATCTCTTCATTTTTTCCATGCCAATCATGTAAATTTCTTTGTTCGATGTGAGCCAATCTTTGAAGTTTGGAGAGTCGGCAATGGATAAACCTTGCAACAAAGTTAGTAGATTTTCAATGTAATTATCACTTATTTTGAGTGTTGAAACAAACAAAGTAAATTTGCTGAGAGTTTGGCAAAGTAATTCATTTTGTGTTCCAACGAATTGGCATAATCTCTCAAGAATCAGAAGTGTGAATTTCGGATCAGAAAAGACATGTTCGGCAAATTTTCGAATGTTTATAATATCTGATATCAAATTGCATGATTCTTCTAAACTCAAGACATCTAAGATATTATATAAAATCATTCTGATTGCATAGATTGATGATTGGTTCTTTGAGACATTTTCAAGTTCTTTCGACACCAAAATTCTCGCGATTTCTGTTGAAATTGGTTTGATTTCTTTGATGCTTGGTCTGAAATGAACTCTTGCAGCCAAATCAAAGAATATTTCGCAATTTGTGATGTCGTATGATCTAAAGAACTTGTTCAACATGATTAAGCATATTTGAGGAGATGGTCTCAAGTCAACAAATGTTAAACATCTTGCTGCAATGAAGAACATCTTTTTCTCTGTGAAACTTGTAATTAAATCGAACAAAAACTGTGAAACTTTGTCAACCAATGGAGAAATTCCAATTGGTAAGTTTTCTGCGTCATATTCAGGACAGCATTTCCTGATCAGTGATAAAACAGAATTCAAGATTAAATGGTTTTGTGTTTCGAAGTTGGATTTAATTTCAACCGGATCTTTGACTTCTGATTCCAAATAACTTGGAAGATTCCATGAATCAAACAACATGTGTTTCAATTTTGATTGATCGATTATTCCATCAACCTTTGTTTCTTCGTTTTCCTTGAGTGTTTTCAAGTCAAACATCCATGGAAAAACGAAAGAAATCAAATCCAAGATTTCGGGAGTTCCAAGAAGATTTGTCCTGTATCCGACGCAAATACTTGTGAACAAATCAATCAGCATTGATAACTGGTTCTCGAAGAAATTCACTGCTTGATCAATCTTGTTTTCATCTCCACACATTGCAAAATCAGCGGAAATTGTCAAAATTAAGATGAACAAAAGTGCAGGAATTATATGTGGTCTATTAACTTGAATGGCGTTGATAAGGACTTCTACTTCGAATGTACCTGTTAGTAGGGACAATAAAGTATTCTTTAAGCTCTCTGATTCGATCAATCTCATTACAGCGCAAGAGAAACTTATTGTTGGTTTGACATAATCTTTTTCATTTGAATTGATCAAGCAAATTAAATCCAAAATTCTTCTTGAAACTGTCATTGTTGATGTCAACATGATCATTATTAATCTGTTGAACTGGAAAACAGACAATAATTTGTTGTCAAAGTTCATTTTATTTTTCATTATAATGTGATTCAAAATTGAAAGTTGAATAGTTTCATCTGAAATGCAGAACAAGTTATAAACAGCGTTGTAATTGCCTACATCATTCAAAGCAAGCAATAATGAGCTGTATTCTTGTTTCTGAAGCATACGACTGAAACACAATGTTGCCATATAAGCTCGCAATGTGTCATTATATGGTGAAATTTGGCACATTTTATCTGGATACAATTCCCACATTTCGATATCATTTCCAATGTAATGGATGCAACTATTGTAATAGAGTGTTGTTATTAAATCTAAAGTGCTTGTATCCTTGAGATATTCGTGTTTCCTCTTGAATAGTAATTTGATCATTGGCCAAAATGTTTCTCCGCCGCAATTATTTATTTGGTGACATGAAATCAAACATTTGATGTAATCAGAGATCAAGATTGGATCATCCATATCTAAAATGATGTTGTAAAGTTCAATAAGTCTTTCTTTTTCTTGTAAGAATGAGCAGAAGCTCTTGTAAGGAACTTTGAAGCATCCTTTTCCAAACATTTCATCGTCGCCCCAATTTGGAGTTATCAACAAGATTTCTGTTGTCATCTTCATCGAAGAAACACCTAAAGATTCGATCTTCTTCTTGTCTTGTACTTGCTTGGAGAATAATCTGATTGCAGGGCCAATAAAGAACCTTGTCTTTGTTGTTTCATCGACTTTTCCGATTGTGAATGATGAGAAATGTTCAATTGGATCTGGAAGAACAATTTCAACAGTTTTATTTCCAATTCCAACATTTAATACGCATCTTAATAGTTCATTTACAAGATTTATATGCATCAATACCCAATGTGTTGATTCTACTTTAACAATTCCATATATAGTTCCATGGTATTTAACAGTGAAATTATCATTTAGTAAAGTAATTTCTAAGTTATTTGCTGTCAAAATTGTAATTGTTTGGTCAGTGTAATTTTCCAATTTGACCCAGAAAGAAATTGCCTTTGCGAATCTCATTATGTGAATATATGATTCCTTCTTGAATGGCTGTAACTCGAAGACAGGGAAGTGATCTAAATTCTCATTGCACATTGGAGAAATCTTCTTCTTGGAATAAATGAGTTTCTTGTAATCAGAAAATGAAATGTATCTGTTTGTAATGGCTGAGATGATCTGAGACATTTCAATAGTGTATTCTCTTGTCGTGAAATCTTTGAGAGCTTTCGTGTAGATCAAATAGATATCAGCAGGACTTAATACGACATCAGGAGGTAGAGGAACGAAAGGAATCAAAGAAGGAACTCTGATGCACAATGTTTTTCCATCGTCGAAGAAAATAATGTTCCATAAATTCCTTGGTTCGATTTTGAACAAATTGTGGTTTGGATTGAGAGATAAAATCCAATCGGAAATGATCATTGCTGTATCTCCTGTTGTCAATGATTCCAAGAACAATGATTTGTTCTCTTCTGTGATCTCTACCGAGTTAATGATGTCGTCTAAAACTTGTAAACCATTGCATTTGTTCAAGAAAACTAAACATGTGTTTTCGTCTTGCATAAAAACATATGAAATTGCAAGCATGATTTCATCTGTCATAGACTTAAAGCACATTTCCATGAGCCTTGTTAAAACAATGTGTTTCTCTTTGTCTTCGATGATAAACATGGAAAATGAGTTCAAAAACTTGTTTTGATCTTTGAAATATTGCTGAGAATGTAAAATTTGTGTAATAATGATGAATTTCTTGTTCGGATCGTTCTCAGCACCGTAAGCTGATGCTAAACATGGTGTAAGTTTGGTGAAAATCTCTAAAATATGAGCAATGAAATCAGGACTTTGTAAAACAATGAATAATTCCAATAAGTTTCCGTTTTTCAAATCTGTAGGAGAAATTAAGCCTCTCCCTGCTAAATCTAAGCCTTCTGAGATCCACTCGCAATGTTGATCGCTAATTCCATCAAGAAAGTTATCTAATAATGGTGATAAACAGAGTTTTACGTATTTATAGCCTAACGCGCAAAATCTGTTGAATAAAAAGCAGGTACAAGTCTTCATTTCTTCATCCATTGATTGATGTGGTCTCATGAATACTGATGGATCTGTAATAAACTCGATATCGTGTGAAGAAAAGCCTTTTTGAGTAATTACCATTGAAATTGTGCTGTAAAGTTGAACAATGACATTTAATTTCTGATTAGAATTTCCTATTTCTGCCATTATGAAGTTTAATGTTGATTCTTCGGCCTTTTTGGTCAAAGTACATAAATCATAAAAAACAAGTTTGATTTTTTGAGGATTTGCCTGAATAAGTAAATTAAGTATCAATGAAAAACCATTTAAAGATGGAAATATCTCATTAATCGCCTTTTTGGCATGTAGAGTATTCATTTTCAAGTAACTTGTTAAAAATTTTATTGCGGAATAAGCATTTTCGTTTGGTATTGAATTGTTTGATATCATATTGAAAAAGAATGTACATACGTATGATGTATCTAAATCGATTGAATCCAGTACGAATAAACTTATTATTTGCTTTAAATTATCATCAATAAACTTTGAATATTCGACGTGATTGAAGAATCGCTTGCAAGTAAGTAAGAAGAAAGTATTTGTTAAAATTACTTTTTTGTTTTGGGGGCTTTTAAGTATTGCCCTGAAAAGAGTGTTCTTGAAATCATCCTGCACAGCTTTAGAGTTTGAATCTGCAATTAACTTTAAGACGTTTAATAACGAAGGCTCATCTTTAAAGACAATGTCTGCATTTAACCCCTTTGTGGTGATATACAAGCATTGTAAAAAGACATCTTTGTCGATTTCGGGCTTTGTATCATACTGATCAAGATAATAAATAAGAATATCAATAAAAGCAACGAAATCTGGGAGCGGTTCATAGTCTTTTGGAAATCCTTGAAGCATATAAACAGTAATAGCATTAACATACTCCAAACAAAACGAATAAATTGTGTCTATATCTGGATAAATGGGTTGATCCATGTTAAGTCGCTCTGTTATTTTCTTTAATCTATTTACAAATGAGTTCGACGGTAAAGCACTTCCAATGCAAGGTTCTTGTGCTGGATGATAAGCGAAACTCATTTTTAAAAAAAAAATCACTGAAAAAAAAATTATGAAATAAAATTTTATAGAGGTAGGGCAACGATAGAAAATTTTTGGAAAAAAAGTTCGGAGATCTTAAACGTATCATATTCCCTGCATGGTTTGGTATCTTCCGCCATGCGTTGTGCCAAACATATTAACACTTTCCAATAATTAATTTATGGTATGAGTCACAGAGTTAGATTATAAAAAGAAAGTAAATAATTGCAATTAGAAATCATATATGTCGGAAATCAAATGTTGATGAGCAGAAACCTTTTACTCATCATAAAAGAGATAAATCACTAAAGATTTGTATACATTAAAATTTGATATTTGGTGCTCGAAAACTGTCTGATGGGACTCCTCCAAAATGAACCAATCTATCGCTGAGGACCAAATTAGATGATGTGGATGGTGTATTTTCTAATTCTAACTTAGGAAGAATGGGAACAAAACGAATGACGACAACAACATGTCAAACATAGATTAAATATCTATGAATCAATAAAGTATACGTGCATTGAAGGTGATAACAATCACTTGAGGCTTATAACTCTTTGACTAAATTATGCAATAATTAAATATAATCATTTTTATATTTTTATACTGATAGTAATTAATATACTATCCTGCTTAATAAATGGTATGATCAAATTTGTTTGAAAATTTAATTATGTATATGAAACTATGTCTTCTATATAAAAATCAAAATTTTCGGACGAACCTAGATTGAACCTTTATGAAAATCTATCATTTTTGTTAATTGAGTTAATATGAATCTTTTACATATGTATATATAGCATTGATAGCTTATATAATCATGGTTTATTCCATATTAACATATTTTTTCAGTTAAATTTGTTAATAATATCATGTAACAAATTAATTCAAGATTAGAATGTCTACAAAATGCTAACAAATAAGAACAAAATACGATTTCTCGACTTAAATTTTAATATGGAGTAGTTTTTCGTTTAAATCTAATTAAAAATGAATAAAAACTTATCTTGTACTATTTTCATTCAAAGATTTTAATAATGTAAATCATGCATTTTCATAATTCAGTACAGTTCTTTTTAGAATTAAAGTTGATGAGGATGATATTTGTGATTTAAAATAATTTGTTAATGTTCACCTTTTATTCATCACCTTGTGGTATGCCCTAAAGCAATAGCATTATCAATTCTGCTGAATTGATCAACTCAAAATTCCAAAAAAAATTCAAAATTTCAAAAATGAAATTAAACAATTTGAATTTTCACATGAAAAAATCAATTTCGAAAAAAATTTGGAAAATCAAAGTATTTGATAATTAGTCAAATAATCAATTTACATCGTTTTTACTCATAAAAAACAACTAATTTTTGATTTTGATATCATATTTGATAAATACTCATTCCAGAGTTGACGTAATGTATTAATTATTGTTAGAGATATTGCTTTCGCAGCAAAATTCTTATTTCATGAAAGAAAAAAAAAATGATTTTATTCCAACAAAAACAAGTAAACAGATGAATGGAAACGTACTATATTTTCATAAATGTAGTAATCAGCGTGTCAGCTTTTGTTTATCATGTTCGAGTCAAAATGTATTAACTTGTAATAAGAAATATTCGAAGATTATATGAAGTATTGAGCATTCTTTGTAGAAATATTTGTAATTCATTACTAACATATATAATAAAGTTGTTTTTTTTCCTTATTGCAATAATTTTGTCTGATTTTAATAACTTTTCATGTATACGAGTTGTGTGAATATGCATCATAATATGCGTAAATATACTTATTTGCGACGAATAATGTGGTTGCATAATGGAGGTGCTAAATTTTGATTTTTAATATGGGGCTTTGGTATGTATAATCATGTTCTTATCTCAACGTAGGAGTATTGGTGCAATATGATTAAAATTTACGAGGTTGATCTTAAATTGAATAATTCTGGAGTATAAATCACAATGCAGCTAATTCTATGTTAAAGATAGATACAGATTGTAGTAATCAATTAGGGAGTACAAATTCATTCTTTCATTTCTGTCGTATTGAGCAGAAAGGAAGAGATCATAACCCTAGGAAAAAAAGCCCAAATTTGTCACTTTTCATAGTACGTTAAACTCAATTCGCTCGGCGAATGCCGAGCACACGTACTCATCATTCAACATAATATTCTCATTCTTTGGTTATTATAGTGCCAGACAACACAAGATTTCAAAGAATTACTTGAGTTTTCAATTAATCTTAATCCGATTTTAGATTTATCGAGAACTCCATCATCACAATCACATACTTCAGTGCGGTAACTACAATTATCCATATACAGAAGGAAGTTCTTTTCGAACAACTCATTTGGAGTCTGTTTTGGAAAGAACTTCTTTCTGTCCGACTTAATTTCATAGTTCCTGATCAACCAAAAGACAGAAACCACACACTATCTACTTAGGAAAGGAGTTCTTTCTAAATCTTCCTTAAATTGAGATTTTACGAGAGATAACCCTTCTATTGCACTTAAAAATGAACATTTTGATATCTTTAGTATCACACATGGTCATATATAGTATTTCATCTACATGAATACATTCATCTTTCGAAGTCTCTCATTAAATGGAGGCTTCGAAAGATGAATCGTTTTATTCATACAACTTTAAATCTCGAACACATTTAGAGAGTGAGTATATCATTTTATTCTTGTTTTGAGTTTATTCTGATTCAAAATTGCAGTGAAAACAGAAGTTCACACATCATATCTGAATGTGAGCTCATCTATACTTATACGATCTCAATACCTCCACTCTAAGCATAAGAGGTGAAGTTATATAAAAATTATCAGATGCGTTGAAGTCTCAAAAGTATTGCCTGAATGCTTGTTTCATATTTGTCCAAGTAGTTTCAATGAATAAATGTATTGTTTTTTATAATTTCGATTTATTTTTAGAAAATATTCAATATAAACCTTTATTGTGTTATTTACATCTCATAAATTCTCTGTCTAAATCATATAAAAGCGCGTTTTACCCCTATGAATCAAGAAATTCATTCAATATTCATGGTATATTTATTAAATTTATACGATTTACTAATAATCAATATTATATCCTCATAAATAGCAATATATTTTGGTAATCTATGATAATCATATACAATATTTGAAATCAAATTTTCATTAGTTTAGGTTCCTTGTTAATAGTAAACCATTATATTTATTACTAATAATAAAATCTATGTGTCGTATTGAAATTCAATAAAATTACTTATTCGGTCCAAAAAAACAAATTAGATAAAATTTTTCTTTTTTTATGTAATTTTTGTTTTTCATTTTTCTCAAGATCCTAAGTTATGTTCTAACTTTTGACATCATATCCTATCATGCTAGGCTATATATTATAGCATATCCAAAAGGCAAGGAAATCTATCAGAGAAGCCTTTTTGACCTATCGTTGCCCTACCTCTATTTTATTTATTCTCAGAAATGAAATTTTGCTTTAGACTGAATAGATGCAGCTTTTATGATGAAAATAATTTTGATAGGATGATTTCAAATTTTCTAAGAGGAATTTGAAAACTCCGATACATCAGATAGCCCATAAAAAATAAACTCTATTCAATGTTCGCTAAACGCCTTTTTGCATTCCCAAGAATCGGAAATTAGAAAGGAAATGGTGGACAAATTAGTATAGTGAAGATAAAGTTGTTTATAGGTGCTCACAATTTTTATTCAAAAATCAAATTTGAGAAATTTTGTATTTTTAATTAGAAGTTAAATTTAAATCTCCTTGGCTATTGTTTTTGGTAATGAAATTTTATTAGATTTGACCATTCGGATTTATGAAAGATTAATGAAAGGAATAATTCATGTTATCTATTATTAACACAATATTTCTGGCATTTTAATATTATGTACTCAAAATTACATCGAAATCTCTAAAATTGGTTTGTCCGAATTTTTACCGAAAGGTACATACAGCAAAAATAACATTTCCATAAAGGCCCAATGTAAATATTGACATTTTACATGTTTAAAAAGAGTTTTAACATTACTTTCTCCTTGGGTGAACTGTCTGTATTTACAACTATTCAATTTTTGTAAAATTTTCACAGAATTGGCATTTTATTGAATATATAATTTGATAATATTTATGTGCAATTATCCGTTTTTCAACAGCCTCAGAATTAAAATAGCATATGTGCAAACTCTCTATCCAAGTCATTGATTCCATGATAACTAGTTATATTTCAAGACTGAATAAAAGCCTTTAGTTAATATTTTGTTGCTTAGATCAAGTTTTATATAAACATAATTCATTAATTGTAATAAACTGCTCATCAAAAAGCGGATATGCCTATTTCAATATAAGTAATATTTATTTTGCTCTGACTTAAGTTATTCTCCATGAGAAATAAATTGCCATTTCAAATGATGTCAATGCCTAATGACTTTTTGCATTAACATATGCCCCGTGAGAAACAAGGAATTCTACAATATTGGCATCATTAAGTTTCGATGCTTCAAGAAGCGGAGTTGATCCTTTATTGTCTTCTACACTGATATCTGCTCCATGGGAAACAAGAAATTTTGCCATATCGGGATGATTATTTTTGAGAGCCTCAAGAAGTGGAGTTGATCCATTATTGTCTTTTCCATTGATATCCGCTCCATGGGAAACAAGAAATTCTGCTAAATCGAAATCATTATGTTTTGAAGCTTCATGAAGTGGAATTGAACCATTCCGATCTTTCAGATTAATATCTGCTCCAAGGGAAATGAGGATAACGGCCAAATAGAAATCTTTTTTATTTAGAGCTTGAAGAAGTGAAGTTCTTCCATCTTCATCTTTTGAGTTGATATCTCCTCCATGGGAAACGATGATTTCAGCCAAATGGAAATATTTTCGATCGAGAGCTCGAAGAATTGGTGTTGATCCCCATTTATCTTTTATGTTGACATCTGCTCCATGAAAAATAAGAAATTCTGCCAATTCTATATTATCATTTTTAATGGATTCAAGCAGTGGAGTTGATCCTCTTTCATCTTTTGAGTTGACATCGGCTCCATGAGAAATAAGAAATTCTGCAATCTCCAAATTATTTCCTTGTGTAATACAATGAAGTGTATTAGTGATGTCAGCACCATGTGCAATAAGTAGTTCTAGTATTTCCTTCCTACTGTATTTGGCAGCAGCAGCAACGAAATCAAACTCAATTTTGAAATGTGGATTGAGAAACTTTCCATTTAATATGAGTATTTTTGCAATAAAAGGTCTATTCAATACTATAGAACGACAAATTGCAATATTAATTATATCAACATTGGCATTGAAATTAATAGGTTTTCTCCAAAATTCCTGATCTCGTGTTTGATCTATCGCAACTAAAAGTGCTTAAAGATTGTTGTAATGGCAGCATGAATCTATTTTGATACCTAGCTGATGTTCATTCATCAAAAATGTGACAAAATCAATATTATGCGAAGCAATTGCATACTTCATGCATATATCATTTGGCTTTTGGTATTTCAAACATTCGCTTATTATATCTGCATTTCCTCCTAAAAATGATAATCCAAGGCAGATATCTGTAATCTTTGATTCATATTCTGTTCTTAAAAATTTGAAACAATTTGCTGCTCCTTGGTAACTACATATTTCAAGTAATGTGTATCTTTTGTTATTATATGGATAGATTCCACTTGATAATGTTTTGTTTTTATCAAATGACTCCATTTCTGTTAATAAAATAAATGTTTTTAAATCATCATCCATAATTGCTCGAAATATTGGGTCCTCAATATTAACTTTAGGATTGACATGGTTAATTAATGATGGTTTAAGTTGAGGTACTGTTGGATGGTATTTTTCATATATTTTTTTGTAAATTGCAGAATATGACTCTATGAAACGATTATTCATTACCATTGCGTTTGAAAGGATCGAACATACTTCAAAAGGGGAATGTATTTGGGTTGTAATTAATTTGTTTATAATTTCCTCGTAAACTTTGTTTATTTCGTCTTCATTGGATGTCTTCAGTCAATATATGGTATTCATAATATCAATATAATCCTTATTTAGGTCCATAAGCTGTTTGCAATCCATAGCTATCAATATCCAAAATGATTTTTTCTGGAGTAGGGGTAATTTTAGCTAAAAGTGACACCCCTTTAAAAGTGACACACCCGTGAAGGGTGTGATTACCGATCGGTAATTTCGACAGTTTAGAATTCCAAATTTTTTATGGAACTGTTGCGAGTTTCATAAAGAATTTAAGGAATATAAGCAAAGATTTGAATCAAAATCTTAGACCTAAGCCGCTCGATTCGCTCGCGGCTTCCGCGAATTACAGATCAGCAAAGATTTGAATCAAAATCTTCGAACTAAGCCGATCGCTTCGCTCGCGGCTTTCTTTATTATTTTAAATTTGCATATTTCCATCAAAAGTTCATAAGGTAAAAAATTTCGTTTATTTTTACTAAGAAAAAAAAGGTTTTTGATAATAAATTTATTTTATTTCGAAAAAGTAGCAATAATCGTAAAAGGGTATTGATAGGCTTGCTAAAGTAACTAATTTTAGCTGTCAAATACTTTTGTATTTTGAAGTAAATTAGTATAAATTTGTTTTTACTTTTATTTCGAAAAAGTAGCAATAATCGTAAAAGGGTATTGATAGGCTTGCTAAAGTAACTAATTTTAGCTGTCAAATACTTTTGTATTTTGAAGTAAATTAGTATAAATTTGTTTTTACTTTTATTTCGAAAAAGTAGCAATAATCGTAAAAGGGTATTGATAGGCTTGCTAAAGTAACTAATTTTAGCTGTCAAATACTTTTGTATTTTGAAGTAAATTAGTATAAATTTGTTTTTACTTTTATTTCGAAAAAGTAGCAATAATCGTAAAAGGGTATTGATAGGCTTGCTAAAGTAACTAATTTTAGCTGTCAAATACTTTTGTATTTTGAAGTAAATTAGTATAAATTTGTTTTTACTTTTATTTCGAAAAAGTAGCAATAATCGTAAAAGGGTATTGATAGGCTTGCTAAAGTAACTAATTTTAGCTGTCAAATACTTTTGTATTTTGAAGTAAATTAGTATAAATTTGATATTATTTTAACTCCCTTTGAAAACCTCAATTTTCCATACAGAGGGAACGGGAATAGCATCCAATATTCCCTGAGAATGGTTGCGCATTCTCAGTTCCCTCTATATTTCGAACGAAGCTCTCATCGGTCTTTTTTTTCATACTAAACGTTTTTTTCCCCTGTCACTTTTAGCTAAAATTTGGGTTTGCCGCCTTTGCTTACCACTTCAGAAAAAAATCATAAATTTTCCAATTTGTGATAAAATTTCCTACATCTCATGGAGCTAATATAGAAAAAGTGAATGAAATGAAATCAAGTCTATATATAATGAGATTCTATACTGGAGAATAAAAAATAAAATTCTTCTCCGTAAAAATCTGATCTAAGTTTTAAACAAATATAATTTTGGGATGCTGAATTGAAATGGAATAAAGAATGGTACTTAAAATATCGTTCATAAAATTTTCCAGCAGTTTTTTTTTAATGACTTCCATTGATTACGAATCCTATGCTAAAGAAATTGATTGTTGGTATAATGATGAACAATTTATTAGTTTGAGGACAGCTCAGGAGCTTTCTCAGATCTTTGATTTCTGCAAATTTACAAAAAGTCAATTCATGGAAACATTTACTATACTCAATAGGGAATTTGGGTCTTCAGATATGTTCATTCTCTCTCAGCATGTTAAAATAGACAACTTAGACACTATCGAATCAAGCCTTGAAATTTTAGAATTTTATGCTAAATTATTTAATAGCAAGATAATATTTGATATATCTTCTTTCATCAAATCCCAAAGTAGCAAAATTATTAAAAAAGAATTATCAAATTTCAACATAAATTCAAGCGATTTTGAAAAACTTTATACCATATTATTAAAAGAAAGTGATTCTGAAGACAGTGATCCGATTAGTTTTGTTCAAAAATGTAACTCTCTACTTCTTTTTTCAGCCCAAAATAATGACAACAAAGTGATTGAATATCTTTGCTCTCTTCCATATATTGATGTCAATACCAAAGATATCTATAGCATGACTCCACTTCTTTACGCCGCACAAAATAATAATAGCCAAGCTATCAAATACCTCTGTTCTAATCCAAAGATTGAAATCAACATTAAAGATAAAAGCTATATGACAGCGTTGCATTATGCCATTAATTATAGTAATCTTGAAGCAATAAATTATATTTGTACAATTCCTAATATTAGTAACAACGTCAAGAACGGATATATTATGACTGCTATCTTTTATGCTGCTAAGAATAGTAATTTGGAAGTAATCAAATGTCTCCTTTCCCTTCCTAATGCCAACATTAATATCGGAATTCTTACAACAGCTCTGATTTATTCTATTCAGAATCCTAATATTGAAGTCTTTAAGTATCTTTGCACTTATCCAAATGTTGATATTAATGCAAAAATTAAAGATGGTATGAGTATTCTTCATTACGCAGTTCAAAACAAAAATATTAAAGCTATAGAATATCTAAGCTCTATTCCTAATTTTGATATCAATGCAAGAGATAAATGCAATAAGACAGCTTTGTTACTAGCTGCTGAATCTTATAATGTTGATGCTGTCAAATTTATTTGTTCTCATCCGAATATTAATGTTAATGCCAAGGATAACGAGCTTAAGACAGCTCTTCATTACGCGATCCTAAATAAAGATACTGAAGTCCTCGTATATCTTTGTTCGGTTAGTGATATCGAAATCGATGCAAAAGATATGAAAAATAAATCAGCTTATGACTGTGCCAGAGAGTATGATTATACAGAATGCATAAAAATTCTTTCTTGTTTTTACTAATAAAGTTTTGTTTTGTATTAATCAGAATTATTTGGTTTCAAGTAGTTTATAAACTATTGATTGAAAAAATATGGATTTCAATTTGATTGAAACATTTATATAAGGAATTTAATACTATTTCATATAAATTCAATGATTCCCTATATTTCAAACAAAAATCTGAGAATAGTTATATGTTTTTTTCTCATTACTGTATGAGCTCAACAACATAGAAATATTCATTATTTTTCTGTGAAATTATATCAATTTTCTGGAGGAGATGTTACGGAAGCAAAAAACATTAAAAGAGGGTTTATTTAAGGGTACACTTACGCCCCTATGACACGGCCTTCAATTCAGATGTTTAAGGTTAAATTTCAATGACGCTTCACGCCAGTTGTCAGAAATTTGAATTAAAGTCAGGTGGGCGTAAGTGCAGCCTTAAGTGATACTTAACAAAAAAAGTTTGTAATGAGAAAAAAATAACTAAAATAATACGATTTTTTAAAAAATTAAAATATATTTTTTGTGTTTTGTAAAGGTAGTCTCACGAGAAAACTGACGGTAAAAATTCGATGAAACCAGGTGCATTGTATAGTACATATATGTGGTAAATAAATGTCGATTAGCTTTGTAAAAAATATCCCACAGTTTTTGAGATCTTGAAAACGGCCATTCAAAAAGTCGAAAATTTTCGCGAGATGTTAATGGGCAAGACAGTTTTTCGACAAATAAATCGTAAACATGGGAATTAAAATAAGGCGTTATATTACATATATGGTAAAGAATATGGATGTGAAGAGCGTTAGTAGAATGGAAAGACTTTGAAATTTTAAAAAATTTATCTGGACTAAAAAATTATTTGATTATAAAAAACATATTATATATCAATTGCTATATAGAACTATCATAACAGATTTTGGAAAAGCCGCAAATCCCCAAGTTGCAGAATTGCGTGTGGGCAATTTTAACGACATTTTTTAACGCGATACGAGCGTAAGTCCATAGAATGTGTTTTGAGGGAAACTATAAAAATCCAAAATAGAGGTAAGTGCGCCATTATTACCTGCGAAGTTACATGGAATAAATCGAAGAGTAAGTACAAGATGATCTTGCATCTTTCCAAGTAAATGAAATTTATTAAAATTAAGATGATAATATTCATTTATAGTATGTGTATGATGTTTTTTCAAAATTTCTTCAAATAAAATGCAGAGAGAGGGTCAAAGTTGCTATTTGTCACTTTTCCACAAGAATATAATGGGGACAAAGTTATCATATAGTTGATCTCATTCACTGAGGTGAGAGATGCGTGTAGTGTAATATGTAATGGGATAAACAGTGGGATTGCTGCTCTAAGTCCTAGGTTCGAGACACATTGGCTTCATTTTTCTCTTTTTTATTGACGTAAACTATTCAATTTTTGTGTTCTCCATTCAAATTTCAGAATTTTTTTTGCAGATTTCACGCTACATTCGAAGTTACCTTTTGTAACAACCACCACTGCCTACGAAAGACGAAAGTGTGTCACGATTTCACCCGGAAATCCGACGGTTGTTTAAGAGTAAGCACTTTTGGTCGTATATTAATTTAACTAATATGAATTTGGATTGTGCTTTCCTTATTGATGTAATGATATTTTCACTAATAAAAAATGAAATATACACAAGAAAAAAATTATTCAAAAATTATCATTGCATTTTATTTGAAGAAATTTTGAAAAAACATCATACACATACTATAAATGAATATTATCATCTTAATTTTAATAAATTTCATTTACTTGGAAAGATGCAAGATCATCTTGTACTTACTCTTCGATTTATTCCATGTAACTTCGCAGGTAATAATGGCGCACTTACCTCTATTTTGGATTTTTATAGTTTCCCTCAAAACACATTCTATGGACTTACGCTCGTATCGCGTTAAAAAATGTCGTTAAAATTGAACCGCGCCTGCAGAATTCATTACATACTAATTAGAGAGAGGGTCAAAGTTGCTATTTGTCACTTTTCCACAAGAATATAATGGGGAAAAAGTTATCATATAGTTGATCTCATTCACTGAGGTGAGAGATGCATGTAGTGTAATATGTAATGGGATAAACAGTGGGATTGCTGCTCTAAGTCCTAGGTTCGAGACACATTGGCTTCATTTTTTTCTTTTTTATTGACGTAAACTATTCAATTTTTGTGTTCTCCATTCAAATTTCAGAATTTTTTTTGCAGATTTCACGCTACATTCGAAGTTACCTTTTGTAACAACCACCACTGCCTACGAAAGACGAAAGTGTGTCACGATTTCACCCGGAAATCCGACGGTTGTTTAAGAGTAAGCACTTTTGGCACCTACTCATACTAATTATTCAGCTTTTTATCAGAAAGGAAGGTAGTGTAGTGGTTGGTAACACTATGCTCTTTTTGAATCTAAAAGGCAACTGTTCAAATCATAACATCTTTGTTTTTTTTTCTTATTCTGCCATTATTGTTTTTCCTTGTTATGATTCAAATTAAAAATATTTTAGTAAAGGTATTTTGGACATCATTTTTTCACATTGTCTCAATGCAAATGTTTGAAAATTTTGTAGGCAATATGACAACTCTTTCAACATTTGTTCTCTTTTATTAACTCAAACAGATTTAGGATCTAATTTCATGCCTTCGAAGACATTTAAACCATCTTCAACATAATTTATGACAAATTGATAACAATTACTCATGAATGTCGTAGATTTAATATCCTGTCACTCAGCAACAAATTCGGGTTCAATAACAAAGCTCAGTAAAAACTTTACAGAAATTCTCCAATTTATTTTAGTGTCTTTTTGCGTCATTACGGCTGCATTTTCTTCTGCATCTGAACGCTGTGTTTGGAAGAAGACGAAATACAGAAACTTTCAAAACACAATAATCAGATTTCTTTCTTGTCTTTCATGTTAAAATGCTTCATCTCGCTAGGTATACGTCATTTATTGGATGGATTGTTAGCTTTGTGTCCAAATAGCAAAAAAAAGTATAATTTAAATTTCGCATTTTGCCATAAGTATACGCTTTAATTTATATCAAAACAGATTTAGATAGCTTAAAACAATATAGTTTACTCATAAATACATCTTGATAATTCACTTCTTCAATTTTCATAATTATATCCTGACCTATATCCTCTTATAAACCATATTTCTACTGAGATCTTCTTTAAAGCATCTTTTTATCCCTATCTACGCCTCGAAACCCTATTTTTCCGGCGGAATATGAATCTTCGGGTCTCGCTGATTCGATTTCTGCAGTCAGATCGTAAAAATACCACTACATAGCCTGATAATCTCAATTTAAGTTCCTTAATTTTTTTTGAAAAAAAAATTAAAACTCCCTTATCAACATCATGCTCATTTTTACGAATTTCATTTTTCCTTTAAGTTTAAAATATACGCTTTTTTAGCATGTTTATAATACATTTTCAATTTACATTTACATTTTTATTTTGAATTGTTTATTTATATTTCCGTTTGAACAATAATATTTATTGAAAATTGTGAGAGAAACGGATATAATAAAAACACCATACAACAAAATTCACTTTTTTTCATACTTACGCGGATCACTCCTTTTCGGCCCAATATGCCGGAAATGATAAAACTCTCAGATCTAGTTGCTAAGATCAAACTCTCGACTCTCAAATCTATTTCCTCAGATCTTGTTGCTAAGATCTACTTCCTCAGATCTTGTTGCTAAGATCTACTTCTCAGATCTCAAATCTACTCTCGATCTCAAATCTACTTCCTCAGATCTTGTTGCTAAGATCTAAACTCTCGACTCTCAAATCTACTTCCTCAGATCTTGTTGCTAAGATCTAAACTCTCGACTCTCAAATCTATTTCCTCAGATCTTGTTGCTAAGATCTAAACTCTCGACTCTCAAATCTACTTCCTCAGATCTTGTTGCTAAGATCGATCTATTATACTCAATTTTACTTAAGCAATATAGATCACCTTTATTATGATTCTCTTTATCTGTACTTGTTTAAAATTAAATTACATCATAAAGATCTAATTACAAATTATTTAGAATTTTGAAATAAAACCAGTATTTTATCAAATGCTTTGAGATTAATGCATTCAAACTTAAAAAAAAAGATATATTCAGATCAATTTCAATATTATTGATTTTTTAATGTAAAAACTATGTCTACATAGATCTCAAACAATTTTATTAGATACTCTTTTTCCCAATTTTTTTCAAAATCTCTTTTTACATATCAAAAATTGTATTTTTCAATTTCATTTTTATTTTTTCCATATTTTTTTTGGAATTTGGATATGCGTCCAAAGTAGTTATGTCATTAGAAAAATATTAGATATCTGAAGAGAAAATGATAACTTAGAGAGTTTTAAAGATTTTATTTTCGAATACAAATATAGACCTCAGAGGAATACATTCTAAATAAATTTGTATCTGAGGGTGAATAAATAAGAACAAAATTTAAAGGGTTAGCATAAATAATGTAGAAATTAAGATTGGAATTTAAATTTAATACAAAATTAAAGGGAATGAATTTGCGATTAGTAGGGTATGGCAAATGGATTGGGAAACATTGGTTACACATGAAAATTATCAGATGTAAGAATTTGGTGCAGATATTTTAAAAATGAGATCTGAGTGCTTAAACAATATCTCAAAATTCAAATTTTCCAAATGAAAATTTGGAAAATTCCCAAAATGCAGAATCAACTGATGATTTTCAATCATTAATAACGCCAATACAAGAAGATCATTTTCCTTCTGCCAACGAACTAAAACAATGGTTTGATATTGCCCATGATGTTTTAATTAGTCCGCCACCTGAGAATCAACATCCAGAAATTGATGAAGAAGAGACACAAAAAGCAATTTATCTATTACAAAACTTAGACTTTCCTAAGAAATAAAATTATTTAATTTATTCTTGTTTGTTTTTTAATTAAACATGTATATTTATTAACATTTCCTTTTTTAATACCTTTCCAACTTCTATTAGTAACAAATACATAACTAATTTGAAGATTTAGCGTTATGAAGAAGTATCCAAGTAATAACGTCAATAATGCATTTGCGATAGGATATAATTGCACCAAAGGTTAAAACTTGTATAAAGAATGAAAAATGAAATTTAATACAATTTTTTTTCGAAAAAAATCCATGCTTGGCTAGATTTTCATAGTTATTGAATATGCATTACTGACATCTTGTAAAAGATGCCGATCAAGGCTTTCAAGATTGCTAAATTTCTCGATTAAAATTTACATTTTTTTTTTATTTGTGTTTAATTACATTTTACAGTTTGCAGACTTACATAAAATCCGCAACATAGTGGTTATTTAATATTTGCCCCACAGTATTGTAGTTTGAAATTTACGATAAGATTATAATTGATAAAGTAAGGTTTTGTCATTAATGCATCTTATAAACTTTCATTGATAAATATGGATAGATAAGTTCTGTGTTCAAAAGTAAGCATTTTTTAAAACGCGCAATTATATCAAGAACGACTATCATAAATTCATGAGTATCGATGATTTTCGTTTAGGATGGACTTAATCGGCTTGATTGATATACATATTTTAAAATGGCATAGCTTTGTGCATGTTATGTCAAGCATTGTGCCAAACCAATTTAAAATGAAACAAATTATTTTAAAGAAACTATATATGAACTATTCGAACACTTTATATTAATGTAGGGAGCTATAAATTTAAATATTCTAAAAATTTATTTATTTGTTAAGAGTTCGGAACAAATTTATTATTGAATATATAGGAAATCAAATAATTATGCATAATCGCATAAAAAAATGCTGAAACAATGAAAAGAAAAAAATAGTTGCCCAATAGAAAAAGTCGAACCCATACCCCTACCCATTGAGTTATCCTCACTTTCAAGTTTCGATCGAAAAAAAGGTATTTAACCGCGTAACTCGCACCTTTTAGTCGTATTTCGAAGTTCTATATAGTATTAAAGATTAAGTTACATTATGTACAAAATAACTTTTTATTGTTATTTGATTTTGATAGCATTATTAGCTGAATATGAAAAATCTCGTAGAAATAATCATTTCATTCAGACATAAGTATTGGATTGTTTCCCAACAAGCATAATAACACACGTTTCACGTTATAATTTATTTCATTTCTGTACAAAATTTAGATAACGATATCAAATAAAAAAAACTGTGGCATTTTTTTACTTTAAACTATCATGAAGTGTAACCAAATTGGGTGAGTATTCTTGCTATCAGTATGACATGAAAAAGTGAACGACAAAAATTGAAGATATTGTAGTTAACTCGGATTTTTTTAATTGCAAACACATCTATAATTTGTTTAAATATCATTTATTATATCAAAATCGAAAAATTCGTTTTTGGAAATCTTTGAATTTATGAGAAGTTCTACAAAGACACTTAAAAGATTGCAATAAAAAGGCTCTTTAATCTTCTTCATCCTTGCTCAGAAACTTCTACTGGTTACCTTACGGGTAACCTGCAAAGCTGCTTCCAAGGCATCGGGAAAATAACGTATTTTCGTGAGACTACCTTTTGTTTTGTATAAAAAATAAATAAAAAGTCCGTACAAAAATTAAATAAATAAAATTATATTACCACCATGGGAACCAACCTCTCCACATCTGGCACAAATTCTTCATGTCTGTTGCTTCATGGATCAATCTGTCGACCTGTTCTTTGACGTCAAGTTTCTCTCCTTCGAAATCAGTTCCGTCCAATTTAGAATGAATTCTGTCTGTTACAAACTGTGCAGAGTTAGTTTCAGAAACATTCTCAGACCACTGAGCGAGAGGATCGTAGATGAAAACTTCAAGGATTCCGTTGATCTGTTCACCGTTGTTTCTGATCAACTCCATGACGTTTTCGCAGCAAGATCTGAATGTTCCTTCGATTCTTGAAACTTCCAATGCGTTTGTAAGAATTCTTGTGAGTCTGAAAGGAACTTTTTCTGGTGCTTTCTCTCTGTGCTGAGCCACTTCGAAACAGTCACCGAAATCGATGTGAACCAATTTCGCTGTCTTGTTCTTGATCATGATGTTTGAAAGATGTCTGTCTCCCAAACCCAAGATGTAGCCAGCCATTGATGTCATGGAAAGAGATGTTGTGTATGCTGTTCTTCTTTCGATCCAATGTGTTGAATCTGATGAATTCAACAGCAAAATCGCCTTGAGATCATCGCCTTTCGTTGCAGACAAACCTTTCTTGAAAGCGAACATTTTATCTGCTCCTTCGATTTGTTCGAAGTTTGGACAAGCTTTCATTGTTGTCTGGTACTCGATTTCGACTGGAACATTGTTCTTTTCACGTCTTTGTTTGATCAATTCGTAAACAGTCGAACAGTTTGTGACCCAGCCAATGAATCCGACCTGTCCTGTCAATGGGATGACGTTGTATGTTGTGATTCCCAAGTGTTGTTTCATAGGAATCGTTGAGTTGTTGACGAGTCTGTTGATGAAGCCGAAGAGCTGCATAACTCTCTCATCGAGTCTTGTGTCTTCGTGAGCTTTGAGGAGGAATGTGTATCTGATACCGTCCGTGCCGTAAATTGCCATTCTTCGCGGTCTTTGTTTGGACTTCATGACTGACAATTTCTGGTCGATCTTGTCAATCTTGATGATGTCTTCGCTGTACTTGAATGAGCCTGGCAAACAGATGTCGTAGTTCGTTGTCTCACTCAAATACTCTGAAGCATCCTTGAGGTTGATCTTGTCAATCTCTGCAATGACTGGCTTCAATTGGTTGAAGATGGAAATGTAAATTCCCCATGCTTGTATCAAATGAATGTCATCGTTTGTCTTCTTGTAGTCCATGAGCATCTTCTTAGCTCTCTGAAGACTCTCGCCAAACTGTGCAACAAAGGCAATCTCGTAATACGTCTTTGGCTCTTTCTCAGTGATTTCATGGGCAGGTAATAAAAGTGACAACATTTCATTTACATCTTGTTTGATCAAATAAGCTCTTGAAGCATCATCCAAGACTCCGAACCACAATTCCCACCATGAAACTGCGATTCTGATGATCTCGTTCGTGAATGTGAGGAATTGGCCAACAGTCTCTGGATACAAGATCTTTAGACGATCATAGATTTGTGAGGCAATCTTTTGTCTGACGGTTGTGTCACTTTTAAGTGGTACAGACAAAGAATAAAGAGTTGTGTGAGGGAATGATGTTCCTGTTGCCAAGAGGATGTCTGTAATGATCTGTCTCAAGTTCTCATCATCAGAAGATGCTCTTGCAATGATCTGTGGCATAACATCCAGCCAGACATAGATAGGAATTGTTGGAACACGAGATTTGAATAAACTGTACATTTCTGGGGAACCGTTTCTAAACAAAATTGAGAGAGCTCTCAAAGTGAATGATAAGTGGTCATTTGCGATGTACAGACCAGCGATGGATGAAGTGATTGAATCCATGATGTAGGACTTATTCTTTGTCTTCTCGAACATCTCGAGATTTATGACTGACCACTGTGTCAATGCTTCGACTGAATTATCCAACATTTCTGCTGCTTTTCTGAAGTATTCAACGGATTCTTTGATTTTTCCATCGAGTTTGAGCCATTCACCGACTTTCAACATTGAATTTCCTTGGATTTGTATGGACAATTTCTTATCATTTGCGATCTCTTTCATCTTTGCAATTGCGTTTGCTTTGTCACCAGACAATCTCAAGTATTTCGCGTAGTACATCTTGAGATCTTCATCATCTTTGTTGTTCTGCATGAAGTGATTCAAAGTTGTCAAAATTATGTCAGTTGCTTTTGATTTGACAGCGACATCAAAGAATCTTATCCACATTGGTTTGATGTCCTTGAATGACTTCACTAAGTTCTGGACTTGTAAGTTCCTGAACAACACGTGATAATCATTTGGCAAAAGATCGAATCTCTGCTCCCATCTATTTGTAATTCTCTCAATTGTTTGTTGAGAAATTTGTTTCTCGAGAGTAGAAGCTGTTTGTGAAATATCTGATGCTTTGATGTAATCAATAACTTCCGCGATATGTCTGATTAAAGCTATTGATTCGTATTCAGGATATGTTCTTTCGTAGTCTTCACTGATCATTGGGAAGATTCTATCTAATTTGTGTTCTTCGATTTTTTCGATAAGTTCTTTTGCTTTTCCGAATTCTCTTGTCATCAACAAACCGTACAAAGCATAGATTCTTTCAAGGTGATTTGCTGATTCTTTATCGAGTTCTTTAGAGACTTTCACGAACTCTTCTGAATCAAACAAACCCCAAAGTGCTGCAGCAGTGTAGTGTTTGTATTTGGCATCGATCTTTGAGAATTCTTTGAGTTCTTGGTATTTGGAAAGCTGGTTCAAACAGTTGAGTTTTCCTAGAATTATCTTCTCATTCTTACTGTCATCTTTCAATGTGACATTATACTGTTTGAGGGCGTCTTCCCACAAACCAAGTCTTTCTGCCAATTCTCCATTAGTTGTACTTGTTCCTCTCAACGATGTCGATCTCAAAATACCTTGTGCAGCCAGTGGAAGACCGAGTTCCTGGTTGATGGAAATCAAGTCATCGGAGACAGCATCGTAACCATCATCGTAAAGAGATTCAGCAGCTCTCAATGCCTGTGCTAAATTGTTGACGGAAAGAGCTCTTTGTTTGGCAATCATCATAGGAACAGGTGGAGGAGCACCAAGTACTTCGATCAGTTCCAATACTGCAAGGAAGTTCAACATGATGTAGCGAGGAACAGATGATGAAGTGAAAATAATCTTCATTATTTCTGTTATTTGGTCGGATCCAACTTTTTCATGTTGGAAATACAACATTGCAAAAGCGATTGGAAAGATCGAATCCATGACAGGGAGATGTCTCTCAGCGAGTTGTGCACAAGATGAAATAGCACGAGAGGCGGACTGTCTGATAACAGTGGAGACAACTTCGTTGTACCAAATAATCCAGGCGGATTCAGAGTGGTTTGATGATGGAGCGGTTATTTTTGTCAGAAGTTCTTTTGTAGAAACAAATGGTGCAGAAGAATGAACAGCTTTCTGTTGCGATGTCGTGTTCTTTCTTCTAGTTGATGTTGGCTGTGTTTCTGCAATGACAACGCCTGGAATGGCTGCACCAATTTCGATCAAACTCGAGTACATTTCGAAATTGCGGTTGTAACTGAATTCAAATGTCTTCGCAAGCCTCTGTTTGTGGAGAACAAATGATGGACCAATGTTTACAGCTACAATGAAAACAATGTCTGCACAAGGATTGTGTAATTCTTTGTTTATCCTTGTGACTTTGATCATTGCGTTGAAAATGTAGCTGGCGAGCTTCACACTGCCTCCATTCATGATGATTGACTTGAGTCTGATCAATGCTTGTCTGCAATTTGATGTTTCAAGCGCATTATCACAGACCCAGTCCAAAATTGGAGGTAAAATGATGTGTGAAACGGAGCCAATCAATAACCCGAAGCTGACGAAGCAGGAAAGAATGGTATCAATGGTCTTCATCGGTAACAAATCGAAATCTTTCACAAATAATTGGGCAATTCTTGGCATGTGAGGAATGAAAGCCTCAGGAATGGATATAACAAGCCAGTCGCATGTTCTCGTGAGGATAACTGGGTCAGTTGTTCCCCATTTGTCGCATATCAAGTCAATGACATATGGAACTAGTGGAACAAAGCGAGGTCCGATGGCTGTGATGAGTGTGGCCATGTTGGAAAGAAGGACTGTGATGGTGGATGTACCTTTCGATTGAAGTAATTCGTTGATACGACGAATTAAGTAGACTTCTAGCTCGTTGTTTAGCATTCTGTTGGTCTTGAGGAACATAAGTAATGCTTCGATGGCCGCTGGATGGAGAGCTGCCAGGGATTCGTTGCCAAGAATATCCAAAATGTTGATTAAAGAGATACCAATGGCTGTTTCGGTCAGAGCGTTAAGGGGATCGTTGGAGACAGCGGTAGAAATGAAGTGGTTGGCAGAATTGATCTTGATCTCCTCATTTACGTTAATTTGGTCGCCATTTCCGAGAAGTCCGTTGATGAACGCTGAATTCGAAGCACCGAGGATGCCAAATACATGAAGTAACTTAGTTCTGTCAACTGCGTTCTTCGGAAGTTTGGCAATTTGTAGTAATTTCGTAAATAAGTCACTGTCCTTACTGAGGAGATGATCTCTGATCTGCGTAAACTTGAGAGATGAGAATAAGAGGTCGAGTGTTGAGTTTAAGCGGTTGGGAGTTGAGTTTATTTGCAATGATTGGCGAATGTGCTTGGAAAGAAGGTCAATGTTGACTTCTGTCGGTAGCAATGGTATTAAAATGGCCAAAAGCTTCAAGGATGTTGAAGAAAGGCGGAATTGGGAAGATAAAATTCGGTTAATAAGGAATTGGATGTATGGCATGTTGGATCTCTGGTTGATAAGGAAGTCCTGGTTATCTTGCTTGAAGGCAACTGACATCGCGATGATGAAAATCTGAATATCTTCTTTATTGAGGACTTCTGAGACTTGTAAGTTACGAACTTTCTCTTTGAGGAGTGCTTCGATGGCGCGCTTTGCTCCTGGATGCTTGGAAAGCTGTACGAGTCTCTCGAAAGATAAAATTCTGATTTCTTGCTGGGAATCGTGAAGTAATGACTCGAGAGTGAAGACTAATCCATCATCAGCTTGTTCGAGAGGTATATTCTTGAGAAGGAATACTCTTAAGTTGGAATCTGTTTCTGTAGGGATAAATGCGATCAATCTCTGGGCTAATTCGATGGAATAGCATGCAGAGAGGTATTTGATGCATACCTTTGATGCACTGAGCTTAACGCCGGTGTTTTCTTTGTTCATATGATAAAGATATTCCAAAATAAGAGGAAGAGAGAGTAATGATGGGTCAATATCGAGAGTTAAGATACGATCGAACATGTTTTGTACGATATCGCTTTGGCAATTGTTTGATAACAAGTGGAGATTTGCATGAGAAAGCAAATCTTTGGTAATTACGTATCCGTCGTCTTCAACAATGTCAAGATAACGCTTAAATCCAATTGTTAATAATGGGCTATCAAGATAATGGTAGATCTTCGATGAATCTTGTTTGAAATAATCATTATTTGAAATTGAGAGAGCGAGTAAGCAATAAGCAGCTTCTGGGCAATCGAAAGCCTCTGTTACTGACTTTCTGCACTTCTGGATGAGTGGGATTTTATCAGAAGAGATTCTTCCTTTTGTAAAAACGAAATTTCCCAAAGAAACGAGAGCTTCGGCTCTATGTGGTGTCTTCTTCTTGATACTGCTATGCATGAGTAAATAGAGCTGGAATTGTGTCTCTAGCTTGAACAATTCAGGAGATGTTCTCCAAATCAAAGGAAGAACTGGATATCCGTAAGTTCGGATGCTTGGATCTTTATTAGAGAGTAATTCTAGTGGAACAGACTTGAATCTAATCAAATAAGCTGCTTTTGGATAATGATCCAAAATTTCCGTTAATGCGCGGCAAACACCTGGATATTGTTCGTGCTTTTGCTTATCAAAGCTCTTCATGAGGAGTTCGATGACGTTATTAAGGGCGGAAGTCTCATGATCTAAAGCAGCGATCAAAGCAGCTGCAGCTGTGTCGTAAATTTCATGTTCTTGGCCTTTGAATGATTTAACAATCATGTTGATTACATGTGAATAGACACCCTCAAGGATAGTTGGGAAATTTTTGATTAATATGGTAATCAACTGGAAGCCAGCAAATCGTGGTTCGGCTTCTTCACCTGTAATCCAACTTATTGCGTGATCCTTAAGTGGATTGAGAATTAAGCTGAAAGAGTTCTTCAAAGGTTTCGAAATCCAAAGTAAAATATATGTAAAGTACTTCCAAAGGATTGTGTTCTTGTCTGGAGGAATGGCAATTATATCTCTTGATAGTTTATCGGCTAAATAGTTCTTATCAATGTTAGGAATTTCTGTTAAGGCGTTAACAAGAACTACATAAAGCAAACCATCTTTAATGTGAGTAATTGAGATTGAAGAAAATATTTCATCAATCTTGTATTGCGCATTCGAAAGATCGTGTGCTGAAATAATTTCTCTTCCGCAAAAATTACGAAAACCACGAATAGCGTTCAGGTAAAGTTGTGATTCTGGTTGAACTAAATATTTTTCAACCATGTTCTTATATCTCTGGACACCATTCTGGTTCTTTTCCGATTCCATTTTCTTTTGATGAAATGTGAACTCAAAAAAATTTGATATGATTAATCTTCTCTATGACAGAAATACATAGATGAACAGTATTATAGTAACTCTTAATCATAATTATTGAATCTTTCAATTTGATGATATATGTGAAAAGACATAAAAATGATTAATTTTGATTGTTATCATTAATGAATGTATATTACTTATAAAAAATTTCAATAGTCATTCAAAATTATCAATAAAATGAAATGATGAAATACAATAGAATATGCACTTTCTAGTGAGAATTATTGATTATTCATTTGACACCTTTCTGGTTGAATTATCGTCAAATTTTTCCATTCTCAAAAAAATGATCGAATTGAACATATATCCAATAATGATTGATGACCTTGACTCAAAATTAAAATATTCAAATTGAAAGCAATTACAATGAAGATTCATTAATTTTTTGCTTTTTTCAAGATATGAGCAGAATCGATTTTGTTAAAGAATCACCCATCCTGAGTACTCTTCATTCTACAAAACGAGTAAACTATATCTTTTTTCAAAGAACTGTTCATATTGTATTGCTTGAACAGCTTCCAATTGGATATGCACTTTGAATATGCAAAGAATAGTATTTATCCCTACATGAGCTGAGATATAATTTCAAAGTAATTTTGTTATTTCAAATAGATCTTACATAAATTTTAGCAAAAAATACGTTTAGTATTGAGTATTTTCAAATCAATAAACTCATATGTTAAAAAAGAGTATAATTAATAGGAATATCTTTATTATAGAAAAAAAAATTATTAAATTTAAGCAATTAACTGCTTAACTTCCTGGATGTTCTTGTTGATAGCTTCGATCTGAACCTTGAGTGCTTCCATCTTAGATCTCTCGAGTTCCTGGACTTCTGGTTTAACCTTTGTAGCGTAGTTAGGATTAGAAATCTTTTCTTCGTATTTCTGGAACTGTTGTTGTAATGGTCCTAACTTCTTCTCCAATCTCTCGAGTTCCTTCTCGAAATCTACGACACCCTTCAAGTTGATTCTCAACTCAACTGTCTCTGTGACAACAGAAGAAGCGTAACCAGCAGCGATCTGTGTTCCTGGAGCAACAACGTCGACCTTTCCAAGTCCACCAATAGCTGAGATGAATGGAATTGTTGGCTTGATTTCATCCTGAGAAGTAACGATGATTGCCTCCAAGTTATTGTTGTTGATGTTGTACTGCTTCTTGATAGATCTAGCAGCAGAAGCTGTAGCAAAAGCAGTGTCAACAATGGAGACATCGTAGTTGAGCCACTCCTCGTTAACTAATGGATAAGGAGCCAACATGATTGATTCGACGTTGAATCTTCTTGGTAAGTGCTGCCACAACTCTTCAGTGACGTATGGCATGAATGGATGGAGCATTCTCATTGTTGACTCAATGCACTCGTACAATACAGCTGCGACAACTTCCTTGGCTGCTGCATCATCGCCGTTAACGATTGGCTTGATGCCTTCCAAGTAGACAGAGCAGAACTCGTCGTGGAAGAAGTGTGTCATTCCATTAACAGCGTCAGCCATCTTGAAGTCCTGGAGACCAGCTGTTGCTGCCTTGATTGCGAGAGACAACTTCTTGAGTGCCCACTTGTCCAATGGTGTTGTCTTTGATGCATCGAGGTCCTTGTGGGAATCTTCTGGGTTGAACTTGTCGAAGTTTGGCAATGCGAAACGAACAGCGTTCCACATTTTGTTGCAGAAGTTTCTGTATGAAACAATGACAGAGACATTGAGGTTGGCTGTTCTGTTTGCGCCTGCAAATGAGCAGAGAGCGAGACGCATGGCATCAGCGCCGCACTGTGGGATACCGTTAGGGAAGTCAGCCTTTCTGCCGTCGATTGCGATCTTCTTTTCTTTGTCATCGAATGTGGAATTCTCGATTTCAGCAACTAAATCTTCCAATTCGATACCGTTGATGACGTGGCGTGGATCGATGACGTTTCCGAGAGACTTTGACATCTTTCTGCCCTGTGCATCTCTGACGAGTGGGTGAAGAAGAATTGTGTGGAATGGAACTTTGTTTGTCAATGTCAATGACATCATGACCATTCTTGATACCCAGAATGTTAAGATATCCCAGCCTGTTTCGAGAATTGAGTTCGGGAAGTATCTGTTGAGGCGTTCTTCGTTGCTTGGCCAGCCGACGCCGGAGAATGGAAGTAAAGCGGATGAGAACCATGTATCAAGAACATCTGGATCTTGTTCAACAGTGACTCTTGATGGTACTACGTTGTTTGCCTTTGCACCTTTAGCGATGGCTTCTTCTTGTGATGCTGCAGCAACCCACTCTCCATTTCCTTCTGCCCACTTTCCGTCGATTTGGACTCTGTAGGCTGGAATTCTGTGTCCCCACATCAACTGTCTGGAAATGCACCATGGACGGATGTTTTCGTGCCACTTCTTCCAGTCAACAACGAATTCGTCTGGAACAATCTTCAACTCGCCGTCATCGACTGCTTTGATGGCTCTGGCAGCCATGTCTGTTGTGTTGACAAACCACTGTGGTGTGATAACTTGTTCAACAATGTCGTGGCCGCGCTGAGTGATACCTAATCTCATTTCGTGGTCCTTCTCTTCCTTGTAGAGGCCGCGCTCCTTCATCCACTTGACCATCTCAACACGAGCATCGAAACGCATCATGCCGGAGAATTGGCCATAGCCTGGAGCAATGGCGCCGTCTGGTGTCAAGATTGAGATTAATCCAATCTCTGGATGGCGCTTGTAAACTTCGTAATCGTTTGGATCGTGGCCTGGTGTGACTTTGACAACGCCTGTACCGAAGTTCATATCGACAAGGATCTCATCTTGGATGATTGGAATTGGAACTTCACGGATTGGATGCCAGACATACATTCCGTGGAGATGGTTGTAACGAGCGTCCTTTGGATTGATTGCAACAGCTGTATCACCGAGCATTGTCTCGAGACGTGTTGTAGCGATTTCGACCTTTTCGCCGGTCTTCTTTCCATCCTTGTCGCAGATTTCGTAGTAGAAGTGTGTCATTACGCCGAATGGATATTGTGGGTATTTGTGGTTTGGAACATTTAATTTTGTACGCTTTGTAAGTGTAATGTATTCGACTTCTGCATCGGAAATGGCTGTCTTGAGAGCGCAATCCCAGTTAACGAGGCGCTCGCTTCTGTAGACTAAGCCTTCATCGAAGAGTTTGATGAAAGCAGCAATGACTGATTCACTGCGCTTCTCATCGAGTGTGTAGTATGTGTCCTTCCATGCAAGGGATGAGCCCATGTCACGAAGCTGAGAGAGAATTGTGCCGGATTTGGATTCAACCCACTTGTGAGCTTCTTCAAGGAAGTACTCGCGGCTGTATTCGCCACGGTGGAGCTTCTTCTCATCGTAGATCTTCTTTTCGACACGGAACTGTGTGGCAATACCAGCATGATCTGTGCCTGGAACCCAAAGGGATTCTTCGCCGCACATTCTATGATAGCGGGTGATAGCATCTTCAATGGATGCTGTGAGGGCATGACCAAGGTGAAGCTCACCTGTGACGTTTGGTGGAGGAAGAATCATAACAAACTTCTTGTCAGCAGCCTTTGGCTCAAAGAAGTTCTGGTTTTCCCACCAGGAATACCAGGCATTTTCGACCTTCATTGGATTGTATTCTGAATCGAATTGTGTTGTATCTGACTTATGACCATCCTTCGATTTTGGAATAACTTCTTGCTTTGCTGCTGTCTTTTTCATCTTTTGTGGGGCCTTTGAAACAGCCTCCTTAATGACTTTCTCCTTACGTTGTGCTTTGGCAGTCACAGACATCTAAAATCTAAAGTGACTTTCAATCTTTCAAAAAAAAATCAATTGAAATTCAATCATTATTTCTTGTTTCTACTCCTAAGTATTTTTTCGTAATATTTTAAGGATGTCGTTTTGTCCCCCAGGGGGAATATTGCGTCCCCCACTTGTTTGATGGAGTCAGAGTATAATTGTAAAGTGTCAAAATAATAATTGATGAATAAAGTTCAAATATTATAATAGATACAGCTTTTTGTTAATATTTAAAATATATTTATTTGGCTTTCATTGAGTTTTCGTGTGTTTTCTGCGATTTGAAAATTTAAATTTCCTAAATTTTTTGCAATAGATGCTTTTTAATGGACTATTTTTGATTTTAATTAATGGGAGTAGATTAATCAATAATAAAATCCGTATCGATATCCTATCATCAAGCGTCACTTTTTGTCCCCCAGTCCCCCACCCATGGGGTGGGGGGCCAAAAATCCATTCAATTTTGAATGTCCCCCAGTCCCCCATGGGTGGGGAAAAAAGTGACTCCCCATATAGGTATATGGATATTTTTATACAATCATATTTATGTTTTGATAAAAATATAATTCAACTCATTAAAATGGAGATGAGGCTAATATTTTCAAAAATCATTTCTCGATTTTAACTAAAAACCTTTGGCACCCAAATAAATGCATCGATTATTAGGAAGTTAGTTGTATTTAACTTATAATTATCCATAATTTTTCATACTTTTAATTTTTTTTTTAATCCTTTGGAACAATGATATAAAATCACTCTATTTATGCATATTAGCAATCGTAAATAATATTTTGGTACCTAAGAATAAATACTTGTATTCTTTGTCTAACGATTATGACGATTTACAAAAATATTTGACACTTTACATGTCCCCTAGAGCTCCAAAATTATGGCAAACCCAAATTTTAGCTAAAAGTGACAGGGGAAAAAACGTTTAGTATTAAAAAAAAAGACCGATGAGAGCTTCGTTCGAAATATAGAGGGAACTGAGAATGCGCAACCATTCTCAGGGAATATTGGATGCTATTCCCGTTCCCTCTGTATGGAAAATTGAGGTTTTCAAAGGGAGTTAAAATAATATCAAATTTATACTAATTTACTTCAAAATACAAAAGTATTTGACAGCTAAAATTAGTTACTTTAGCAAGCCTATCAATACCCTTTTACGATTATTGCTACTTTTTCGAAATAAAAGTAAAAACAAATTTATACTAATTTACTTCAAAATACAAAAGTATTTGACAGCTAAAATTAGTTACTTTAGCAAGCCTATCAATACCCTTTTACGATTATTGCTACTTTTTCGAAATAAAATAAATTTATTATCAAAAACCTTTTTTTTTCTTAGTAAAAATAAACGAAATTTTTTACCTTATGAACTTTTGATAGAAATATGCAAATTTAAAATAATAAAGAAAGCCGCGAGCGAAGCGATCGGCTTAGTTCGAAGATTTTGATTCAAATCTTTGCTGATCTGTAATTCGCGGAAGCCGCGAGCGAATCGAGCGGCTTAGGTCTAAGATTTTGATTCAAATCTTTGCTTATATTCCTTAAATTCTTTATGAAACTCGCAACAGTTCCATAAAAAATTTTAAATTCTAAACTGTCGAAATTACCGATCGGTAATCACACCCTTCACGGGTGTGTCACTTTTTACAGGCGTGTCACTTTTAGCTAAAATTACCCCTACTCCAAAATTATTTGGTCGGGTCCCCAATTGTCCCCCAAGCGACATCCTTAAATATTTCAGAAGGAAAACTCTAGCGTAAAAGTGACAACCTCTTATTTTGATTTATCTGTTCATTATATCTTTTTAAAAGAATGGCATATCAATACAGTAGCTAGAAACTATGACTTTGTCCCATGTTCGTAAGAATTTTGATCTATTATAAAATAATTTTTTGTATTTTCCAAATATTTGAGCTAAAATGAGCATAAAATTTAATAATGCATTAAATTAAAATCTGATTTATCTTCAAAATTTTTTCTGAAATTATGTTTTTCATTACAAATTCATAAAATTTAATTTCAGTTTTTAATTTTTAAATTTTTTTTGGAAATTTTTCATTCTGATTTATTTCAAATTCCTAATAGATTAGGTATAACAAGCTAATTTGATGGTAAATATAGAATAAGACACTGTTATTCAATAATTATACTTTTATCACCGAAAATTAAGTTGAAATGCTTGTAATAAAGAGGAAATCTCATAGTCTGATTTATATATCATTCATTAAAAGTGGAAAAACTGTATTATATGTACTAATTACAGATATTTCTTTTTAAATATTAACGACATTATCATATTTCATGAATCATTATATAGATAACCGAATACCAATAAAGAGGGTGAAAAAGAATTGCTTTAAATTTAAGCGAGTTGTAAAATATATCATAATAATATGAAGTAATTTTATTGAGAGCAACAAATACTATTAATATAATTAATATCTTAAATAACAGAAGCCTCACTGCTAAGCTGCTTTAAGTATGGTATTACTTTATCTTTATGAAGTGTAACTGCATCGCTTCTTTCTTGAGATAACTCTGGTGTAAGTGGGAATTTGCCACTGCTTACGAGGTCAGAAATAATATGAGTGATTTCGTTTTCAAGTGTAATAACTTCTGTAATTTTTGCAGAAGAACGACCTTCTTCAGCAGCTTTTTCACATAAGCCGAAAAGCTTATCCTGAATTCCAAGAATTGTGCTAATAAGTACGTCACTGCAGTTCAATTCCTCTTTTGGCTGTTCATTCATTTCTTTGAGAAGTAATTTTTGCATTTCAAGAATTTGAGCATCTAATTCTTTGATTTCTTTATCCTTTGCTTCTGATTCAGTAGCCATAGCTTCAAAATCAGGGAGAGCATTTGTCAACTCTTCAAGAATTGCGCGTTGGCTACTATAAACAGAGTTTAATGTTTCTTGTTTGAGACGAGACTTTTCAGCATCTTCTAATGCTTTCTTCGGAAGCAATTGCAAGGCTTCTGGAGTTAAACTCATATGTATGAATAAAAAGTGCCAATTCCGTACGTTTTGTAAAAAATTTAACTAGGGATTTTCATTTTCAAATACATAATAGACTAATCGAGTGGAATAATTTTTCTCATAAACAAAGTCCATTATTTTAAATAATCAGATATCAAATTTTTGATCATATGTTTTTTGGGCATTTTTGAGGAGGGAAAGAAAGAGAGTCGGAATAAAGACCACATTTATCTATGCAAAATGAAACAAATTCATAAAATCAAAAAAATCATTAAAAAATTATTTTAATTATTCAAAGAGTTTGAGGATTTCGTTAGTATTTATTGTTTATTTGACATTTCCTAATCATATGCAAACATTTACTTAAGGAGTGTGCCATTGAACTTCTGGACGAACCATTCCTTAGCTTCCTCACGCTTTACACGCTGGTTTGGACCAATGCGGGACTGGCAGTGCTTGCGGCGAGAGATACGGTTGCCTGGGCGTTCAAGAACAACGTAAAGATCCATGCCGTGAATGCCGATATCACGATCGTACTTGAGACCAAGATCGATGTGCTCCTTGATGCCGAAGCCGAAGTTGCCTTCGATTGAGAAGCAGCGGCCGGAGATTTCGTAATCGTGGACTTGGAGAGCACGGTTGAGGATTTCAAGGGCCTTTGGACCACGGATTGTTGCGTAAGCAGCAATCTTATCGTTACGACGAATGCCGAACTTTGGAATTGTACGATGAGAACGGGCAAGCATGGCTTGTTGCTTTGTGAGCTGTTCAATAACACGGGAGGCACGTGTAACCTGATCACCGACAGCACCTGGGTTGATGTTGATGCAAAGCTTTGCAACACGAATTTCGTTGAGCTTGTTAGCGCACATTTATGATAAAGAAAGACCAAAACCGTCAAAACGTCACTTTTTGTTGTGCATCCTGAATTAAAATTATGAATTATAGTGAGATACTGCTTTGTTATCAAGTGTGTAAATTAGGGATTTTAAAAAAAGTTCGCAAAATGGCGAATTACGCCACTTCTAATTTTTTGGCGAATTCGCCATTTTTCAATTTCGAATAGGGATTTAAAAACGGTTTCGCCAAATGGCGAATTACTGAAAATTCGCTAACTCGGCCTGATTTTTTCGAATTCGGCGAACTCAAAAAGTGACATAAATTATGCATACTCTCGCTATAATCATTCATAATTTTTGCATATGTCAAATAGTTACAGTATGCTAATAACTTTATTACGTATAGTCATGATGTTCATGATAACTATTTTGAATTTAAGTAAATAATTGACAGATTATTGGCGTCAATACTTATTTTTGGAAACTTATCATATAACTTCAAATATATTAATACAGTACAATGCAAATACTGTAATGACTTCTCGTGTTTTTTAGATAATCTCGGTCATATCTTTTATTTATCTCATAATATTGAATAATTTCTTCTTCTTTTCAATTATCTTTTTATACAAGTAAATTATATTATTAGAAATGCTGAATAATTGAGAAAAACCTAAATATTTGCAAATATTATCTAATTTTAGATATATTCCTCCACAATATCATAAAGGAATAGATCCCAAATAATATTAATATTATTAAGTATGAGTGTACGGAAAAGGCAACAATTTATTTCATTCAAATTTTTCATATTAAAACCATACCATTTCTTAAAGCGCACATAAAAACTGTTTATGTTGTGAGTAATAATTTATAACAAACTTAATCATAAAGTTCTTATTTTGAATTCAAATTTATTCTGTTTAGTTAGTATGAGAATAAATTGTTATGATTTAAACAAACTAACATCAATAGAAGCTAATTTTGCAATCAGCATAAATAATTTTTAATCATGAACAAATATGAACTTTATTGTCATAATATATATATTCATTCAATATATTTTGCAAATTGATAAGAAAATTGGAAATATAATATTGTGCTTAACGTCTTCGCCATTTTGTAAAGTAAAATTAAGAGGAAAACGATAATCCCAAAATAAAAATAATAGCCCCTATCTTAAAATCATGAAGATTACCACCCAATAAAAATGTTAGACCCTTTATTAATAAAAAACGAAAATTCCACAAAATAAAAATATCAGACCCTTTTACATGGTTTCGAAATTGAAAAATGGCGAATTCGCCAAAAAATTAGAAGTGGCGCAATTCGCCATTTTGCGAACTTTTTTTAAATCCCTATTTCGAAACCATGTAAAAGGGTCTGATATTTTTATTTTTTTTTAAATACTCATATCAAAACGGCTAAAATCAATATAAGTGCGAATCCAAAAATACTATAAATATCTTCTTTGAGGTTTGCAGAATCAATTGTCATTAATCCTTAAGGATTACCTATTTAACGATTCTTCAATTTGAATATCTATTAGGGAATTGGAAGAAGAAGATTTGAAAGAACCTTCTTCCATATTCTAAAAAAAAGAATTTATATCTACCGTGCAGAATTTTTGGTTCAAAATGTTTATGTTGAAACCGAACACAGATCGGTGCTAGATCCGTTGGAATCATTTCTTGATTTCTGCTGATAAGAGAAAACATTTGCCTTTCGCATTAGAAAAAAGAAAATGGAAACATATTACATCCTGAACTTAATAAACGTTTGTTTATGGATCTCATAAAAGTACAGTATACATTGTGCGTCGCCTGTAGCCTACAGCTACAGTCACCGGCACAATGAAAAAGTGACAGAAAAGTGACACTATACAGGCGCGCATATGTACGCATATATGTGTAAAAATAAACGTTCATATGTAAACTAACCTTTATTCACTAGCAGGGGCTGATAAATCATAATCGTCGAGAAGTACGATAGCTGGTCCCACCGGTTTAATCTGTATGGAGAGGCAAACGTGACGTAAGAAGCATAACACTGGTTTCTCAGTATATTTAATAGACTCTGCTGTTGGCTTAACTGTAAGCTTATATGTAATAGGTGAGTTAGATAACTGACCCTGTTGGAATGTATAATCAGTTTCGCAAGGGAATCCACATAGGTAATGACCTAAGTCATTTGACTCGATTCCAAATTGAGGGACTGATGTGGTTGTGATAGACCTCATGACATCATAGTTGAAGCCAACAGTATCGTTATTATTGTTAGTAGCATTTGCCTGCATCTCATAGAAGATTGGATCATTAGATGCTTGAGCCTCAGCGGGTATGTTACCATATGCACCACAATTCAGTTGAATTTGTTCAAACAGTGGATTTTCATAGGTAGTGTTATAATTAGGTGTTTTCTTAAATAGTGTATAAATGGTGTTCACATATAATGGAGTAAATGCTGCCGTGAATGTGCAAGGAGTTCCTGCACCTTTAGCCATTGAACCATCCATAGTAATGCAGTCAATTCTTTTGATTGGGAAGTTTAGAGTCTTTGCCGAATATCTTGCCACCAAATCACTATAGATGTTAGGGTCCAAAGAGAATGAGTTACAGTATGTAATCATTTCAAAGAAGTTTGCATTCTTCTTAGTGAACTTAATAAACTTGGTACCAAATGATATCGTACTCTTATCGGCATCCAAGTTACAGTATCAATAACTTTGATACCTTCATAGATAGGAGTGAAGTGATTAGTGATTGGAATATAGCTTGTAACATTGGCTTGCATGTTCGGTAATGGTAGAATATCCTGATAACTTAATGGTGTCCAAACCATACCAGCAATACTGAACTTAACCTTAAGTTGTAAGTTACCAGCAAACGCTGGAAGGAATCTAATGTTATTAAGTATTAGGAATCTTCTTAGGTCAATCTTGATTGGTATGTGGAACTTTAATGTAGTTGCACCACTAATTGGTTTATTGAACTCAATAATCTGTCCAGAACGAACTGTATCACATCTATTGAAAACATCTTTATGTCTAGCCTTACTAAATACATCAACTTTCTTAATAGCTTCTGTTGTAGATGCAGTAGAAGTAATGTAACCTTCTTCTCTAGCATTATCTTGTGTATAAACACTTTTACCATTAGCGATTAATTGATATGATTCAACAGCATAGAATGAATCAATGTATCCCAACCAAATTGCTGGAAGATGTGCACATGATTTGCCACCAGCATATTTAGTATCAATTGCTTTAATTGCTGTAACATTTGATCCTGTAGGAGCGTCTCAACAGCAGCTCTTTCTTTATATACTTCACCATCATATTTAGGAACTTTTTCATCAGCTGGTTCAGTTTCTGTTGTAATTATGCACTCACCATCGACATAACCACTAATGAACGTATTATATAAGTCAATCATGTTCTCACCAGGTGGTGATATGTTAAATGTAATATAACCGTTATCAATAGTATTTGTCGGCATAGCTGGCACTTTTGTTGGGACATATCTATGGTTAGTATCTCCAATAGGAACTGCCCCATCAACTTGATCGAAATAATATCTTACTTGTCTGATGGAATCAGCAATACTGTATGTATTGAGGTTATCGTTCAACATCTTTCTCAGCTATAAAAAATTTACAATCTTCTTATTCTTGGGATTATTCGTCTTATTTGTGGCTGAGGTTTAGGAGGTTCTGGTTCAGGCTCTGGTTCATCATCGAAGTGTATTCTTTTCTCTTCCATTGATTGAACATATTCTTGATTCTCTTTAGTTTCCTTCTCACGTTCAATTGGGTCCATGTTTGGTTCATTAACTACACTGTTACGTTCTAATATCTTTGTCATCATCTCTAACAACATTTTATTAGTATATGCTTGTTCTTCTTCTTTCTTCTCATCAACTTTAGGAGCTTCTTGAACAACAGGAGCTGGGGCAGGAGCTGGTGAATTCAATGGTGCCTTTCTCTTTCTAACTTGAACTGAACCATTCTTCATATGACAAACATAATATAATGGATGTTGTATTCCTTTAGCTTCATTCAATATGATTGATTGCTTTTCACTTGGTGAAAGTTTTGACGTCATTTCTATCCTAATAAAATTTTTTACTCCTAACAAAATGACTGAGAATACTTTCGACAGAGAAGCACTCAAGAATGAACTTCGTGAAGAAATACTTAATGAACTCAAACCAAAAGAACAAACACAAAAGAGAAAGAAACCAGCTAAACCAAAGCGTAAACTCACAGAGAAACAATTAGCTGCATTAGCAGCTGGACGCGCAAAGAATCCACGAATGATTGCAAAGAAATTGAGAGAAGAGGAAGAAGCTAAGAAAAATAATAAGTAAGTGTTTAGAACTTTAACTTACGTTCAAAAGATGACTTCGTTGAAATAGTGAAGTCCTTATTTTTGTTGAAGCATGGTTTCGAACCAATGCACAAGTCAAAGGTTATCTCATCACCTTCATAAAGAGATTTGTACAATTCCACGATGCTATATTTTTCCCCAACTTTCTCAGGGAAGAACAAACCTTTCTTCTCGTCATAATGTACTTGTATCGCATCTGGGAACATTTGGTTTGCAGTAAGTGCAATTACGTCCTGTGTGATTCCCTTCATTCGACAGTGGAAAGCAATTTCCTTGAGGTCATTGGTTAATTCGTCGAGGTAAGTCTTCTTTCCAACGAATATAGATCTTTGTGCCTTAGACATATGTCCTGCAGTAATCTCTGCAAAGTCTGAATGAAATTGACCCAGTGCTTTTCCAATGAGTTCTCTGTTATACCTTCTCTTGTATTCTTCTGCTAACTTATCTAAGTCCTTCTCATACAAGTGTAAACTATCTGTATCCTGATAGAACAACTTCAAGCCCAAATCTTCTGCTGTGAAGAATACTTCATTCATGATTCGTTTGGACATAGAAAGGATTGAAACACCTAATGGACAATAGTTAAAGTGACGAACGATAGGTTTAAATGACTTTACACATGAAAGTTCGGAATCGGGGATGAACTCTATTGTCTGTATGTCATTATAGTTCTTAATGATATAGTCAGTGAGCTTATTGTCCTTGATGAAACGAATCTTTTTGTCAATGGGCTTTAATATCGTCTTACCATAGATACTGTTCAAAAGAAGTTTGATGATCTCTTGTATCGGATTACCTTCCTTCTTATACTTAGCACGTAATTCGAAGAGCTTCTTAACTTCATTCCTTATTGTCATGTCCCTTTTTCCATCATAATAGTATCCATCAATGACTTTGCATGAGATCTCTTGGAACTTGATCAGATCTTGAAGCGTAATGTGGTCTACGAACATCTTGCAGCATGTATTGGAACTTCTGGCAACATGTAAGTCAGGGTTGATGTCAGGATTGACGACAATCAATGGGAATGCTGAGTTCTTACCGATCGACAAGATCTCGATCTGACAGTAAAATCCTGAGATGAACTTTTCCTTTGTTGGTTCAGCTTGGTCATCATCAAAGAGATGCTCCAACAAGTATTCACTGCTCTTCATCTCTTCTGTCATAACTTTTGGAATTCCTTCTAAACAGTAAAGTCTAGCAATTGCTGATGGATACAATGATACAGCATCGAAGTCAGTGATGAGTTCTCCTTCATTGTATTGCTTCTTGTTCTCAGCTAGCATGCATCTTCCTCCTTGAATACACTTGGAAATATATTCACGAGGTTTTCCTGCAAGATCAAAGAGATTACCGTTCTTCCAATATACTCTCTTCTCAAAGAGTTTGTTTGAGATAGAACTTATTGAAACATAATCATAAGCATCTATTTCAAACTCAGTCATGAGGTCATTGCGGAACTTAAGAAAGCCATCTCGTAAAATGCGTACATCTTGACCGCAATAGAATGACGAATAAACTTCCATGTCAAAGTGTTCATCATCAATCTTGCAATCTTCAATCTTCTCAATGTTCTCATTAAAAGCTTCAATATCTTTGACATGATTCATGGCATCATCGATGTTACCAACTTTAGTTGTATTAACTAACTCTTCCGTGTAGTAATTATATGGGAAAACTTCTTTTTCACCACTAGTGAGGTGAAACATTTCAGGGAATCTTTCCAACTTAGTTGAGATGATTGCATAAGAGTCTTTGAAGCAGAGAAGTTTTCCTTTGTACTTTCCTTGTATCTGCATCGTTTGTGAACCTTTGATGATTGGAGTTCCTGTAATCTCTTCTAACTGAGACATGAGAAAAGTGACATCGTACGATAAGTTGTGGAAATAAACTAAACTCTTATCTGGTAAAGCTTCGAGGAATTTTGACGCACAGTCACTTCCCCAAATTGATGTATAACCATCATCGTCATCTTCCATGAAACAAATGTTGTATGCTTTGTGAATGTTTCCATCAGTTGATGCTTCGAAGTCAGCAAAGAAAACATGTTCTCTTGGGAACTTCATGTCTTTCTTCGTCTCTGAACTCCAATCTTTCTTCATCCTTGCGCAATAACGCTCATTGTATGTGAGGTCAATCATTTCTTCAAGGTTCTCATTATACATCGTTGTGAAGTATGTGCAAAGTTCTCCTGTTCTAATTGGTTCGAAATAATTGTTAGCAAACAAGAGTTCAATGACTTTTGCAAGTGGTGTAACTAACTTTGAGTTAATTGCATACCTTGTTTCATATCTTCTGTTAACTAACATCTTCTTCTCTAAAGTCCAATCCTTGCACAACTTACAAACATCTTCATAGTTCTTGATGAACATTGAACTTATTGGAAGCTTTTCGTTCAACATGTAGTGGTCATACATTAATAAAAGTTCTACTGTCATCTTTGGTTCTTCATCTGGTTCATAAGTATATGAATGATTTGAATACTTCTCGTTGTATTTGATGACATGGAACCTTATTCCTGTTTCTTTGGCAATAACCTTAATCTTTGACATTGGAAAATCTTTGACACGAATGATTTCCCTCATATGATTAATTGTTGCTTCGTCAACACCAGCTTGAATACAAGCGTAGATGAAACATGAATCTTTCATCATCTTCTTTGCTGTCTCTGCATTAAGTTCGTTGAAGATCTGATACCTCTCTAAGTTAATAGGTAATTTGCATGTCCATGTCCAAAGCTGACCATTACGTGACCTGTTTCTCTTCTTTGAATGGTTTTGTTTGATGATCTTGAGTGCGATCTTTTCTTGACCTGCTGCTCTCATCGTATCTAACATAACTTGTTCTTCAGCTGTGAGTTTATATGGTGTGTACGTTCCTTTTCTCAAAGCAGAAGCATCAACATCTGAATAAGCTGTATAGTCAAAGATCTCGATCTTCCTTAACGAAGGAATACTACAAAGGAAGAAGTCATAGTTTGATTCAAGGACTTTAGATGCTAATTCTTGTACTTCTGCTATTGGAGCTTCATTAAGTAACTGATGAACTAATGATCCCATTGTATTGATGTTCAAATGACGCAAAATGTTTCTCTTCTCATCAAAGTCGTAATAGAATGTCCACTTCTGTTTGAAAAGGTCTATCTGTCCAATGAACTTTGCCATAACTCTTGGAAACATCTTGTTGAAGTAATCTTTTCCTCTTGGACTGTATTGGTCAATGTTAAACATAATGAATCTTTCTCCTGCTTTAGTTATTGGGTCTAACCATTTCTCATCAGGAAGTTTTTGACCATTAATGTTCTTAACAACGTAAAAGGCATTCTGTATTTCTTTGTATGCTAATTCGCTCTCATCAATCTTTGGTGGAGGGTCTGAGTATATTGGTTGCATCTCCATTAACGCTCTATTATGAGATCTCTGATCGTGATCTAAAGCAACTGGGGAATTTGAAGCTGGAACATTCATGATACCATTGTAGTCATCATAGAAGCTCTTAGCATTCTTGAAAATATCTGCTACACTTCCTGTACCTCCTTGATTCTTAATTGCCAGAGCTAATTTATTGGTAATGTCTTTAGCTTTCTTAGGCATTTTGATCCCAAACATATCAAGCATACCTTTCTTATCTTCTGGTGAAAGGTTATTAACTAATCCTTTTATAGCATTGAGCATGTTGGTCTTTTATAACCGATAAAAAAATATACGTTATTTTTTTTAATCGTCATCGTAATCATAATCGTACGAAGATTCTGTATCATCATCACTGACATCATTGGTTTCTCTAACTTCTGGCTTATCTGGTTTAATCTCTATCACCATAAACATTGGTGACAATAATCGAACAGGCTGATCTTGGAAGTCAACTAAGGTAAACGTAACATTAGTTAGTTCCCATGGAAATGCATCTATCCATGGTGAGGATTCCTTACATATAAGTGGTTTACCAGATATCCAGAACTCATTGATGTTATAACATGTAGATCTGTACATGATCTTTCTTCGATCATCAACTTGGTCAATATTATTGAACCCAGAGATGACAGACATTGATGAACGAAGGTATAACTGATACCCGAAGTTGAGCATAGGTGGTTTTGGCATTTGTAGATAATAATTATGTACAATAGGTAGTTCTATTCCATATGCACCTAAAATAAGATTTGCTCTATGTGAAGCATCTTTTAAATAGACTTTATGTCCTTTGTCCTGTGACGTAAATATAAGTTGATTCGTAGCACTCAGTGAAACTGTTACATTATGTTGACCTTTTTTCTTGTTATAATAATCAAACTGTTTTGTTACAATCTCTTGTAGTTTTGATACAATAGTATCCATATCAAATGAAAGAGCTGACTTAAATGTACACACCTTTTCTTCTCCATCTTCGTCTAACTGTAAGACAAAATAATCTGTTTCGTCACAAACAATAAAGTTCGCCATAGTACTGACACTTTTTACTCTCATCTTTATCTTACTTGGATGCCCCATGTTAGGATCTGCTTGAAACTGTATTGTCCCGTAGTTATTAGGATCAGTCGATTGTAGATAATACATCATTTTTATATGTAGTAAAAGAATGAGTGTTGTTCCATATGCATATGAATGTTATAAGTCTAGCGTACTTCAATATAAAGAATATACTCTCAGAATTACTGATAATGCTTTAGTCATACATAAAGAAGGTGCTGATGAAGACATTACCATCGGTCCTGGTATATTACCTATCGAGCAACCAGATGGTACAATTGTTGAAACAGACTTAAATCAATACCTTCAAGCGTTACAGAATCGTGTGACAAAAGTAGAGAATAATTACTTAGATGCTCCATTCTTCACAACTGATAGAGATTATATGTTTTCATGTATGGCGAGTAATGGTTTGCAAGAAACTCGTGAGGTAAATATTAATGAAGCATTAGAGACTATAATATATCATGTCAAACGGTTATTATCGATTGACCATGGAGTTCATTTTGACCCAAGGTCTACACTGTTCAATATACCAATGATTGAAAATAGTCATTTAACATTTAAAGAAGATACATTGTATAATGCTTTAAACGCAGCATTTGCTTATATATTAGGTCATGAGCAAGTACAAAATAGTGGTATTGCAATATACTTAGATAAAGTTATGTTAAAGAAACCATTGACATTCACAGAAGATGGACCAAAAGCAACTGGTATTGTTGGTGATGGAACATTATTGACGAAAGAATACTTAGCAAGTCATGTCGGAGAATTTTTCTCCACTAATGATAGCATCAGTACAACACCAGAAGTTATTTTATTGAAGAAACCAATCACATTTGATGTTGAAGGAAAGACAAAAGCAACTGGTATAGCTGGCGATGGAGTTCTTCTGACTAAGGAATACTTGAAGAAAAATATCAATGACTTCGTTGAAGTTGTCAAAGATAAAGAATCTGGTCTTAAATTCAATCCTTTATCATTCATCTTTGACATAGCAAATGCCGGAGCTACTGCAGCCTCATGGATATCATTACAAGGTCACATTGATGCATTATGGACTTTTATTGGTGCAAGAGATGGTATTCAAACAGTCACTGCAGCTTTAGAGTTAATACCTGGTGGTAAAGGTGGTTTTGTTCTAAGTTTCAAAAATCTTGTTACTACTGTATTGACAAACGCGAAATCTGCTGTAGGTTTTACCATACATAACGCGAGAATGTATTGGCAATTAGGTACTGCTTGGTTACGTGCAATACCAAGAGATGCAGATGATAAGAAAGAAGATCAAGTTGACCTTAATGTTCCAACTGTTATTGTTAAACTTCGTGAATTATATCCATCATTTGTAGAATTCATCAAGAGTGTAAATGATTCAATCAGTACTAATAGTATTACTTTAGATAAAGAGTTTCAAGGGATAGATTACATCTTTTGTTCGCTTGCTGAATTAGCGAAGAAAGTTGAGGAGAACAAAAATAATGGAGGAAGAACTGCACTTGAGATTGCAGGCAAAGCTGACAAAAGTTATGTTGACGAAGAGATACGTAAAGTTGTATCTAAAGAATATACTTTACCACAGTCTGTCATACTTAAGACAATCAAAGGTCCAGAGAAAGATATGTACCCAGGTGATGGTACAACAGTTAAAGTTAATGAAAGAGTTTCATTCCCATCTGGTATTGATGCAAAAGAAGTATATATTAATGGTGAAAACATCAATACAACATTGATTCCTTTGAAAAATAATGAGTTCACTGAACCTTTGACAATTAAATCAATTCGTTCAAGAGAAGACAAACCTGTTATAATCAATAAAATAGGAGCTGATAATGACCAACCAGTTCAAATCAAGAAAATAAGAGCTGATGACATTATCTTGAACTATACTTTAGGCTCAAGTGCTCCTTTACCAAATCCAAGCACTAGTGTAAGAGATACACTTAATAGTTTAGATAGTAAATGTACGAATATTGAAGGACATGTCAGAAACTTTGAAACACATGAACTACCAGCAATGTTAGATAAGAAAGCAGACAAAAATCATACACATGAATTCTTCACAACTATTAGAGCTGATGAGATAATATTGAATTGGGCTATTGCTTCATCAAGCATGCGTGATGAAGATATGCACACTAACCTAAGAGATATGGTTGTTGATTTAGCCAATAAAACCGACAAAATATATGTAGATGAAGAATTAAATCGTTATGATACAAAAGCATTGAGTTATACAGAAGAAGCAAAGGAATGGGTCAATGAAAATTATGTGAAGAAGTCAGAAGTAAACGAGGCGGTTAATGATAAAATAAATGAAAGATTTTCGAACATAGATTCAATAACAGTTAATGACATTCAATTACACCATCAGTTACCGGGTCAAAAGAATGTGGAATATAATAATCTTACTAAGGTTCTTGATGGTTTCGATGAATTTAGAACTGATGCAACAAATGCAATTACAAGTATGAAGACTGAAATATTGCAAGCTATATATCCTATCGGTGCTTTATATACGTCAATGAACTCAACAAATCCGGCAAGTGTTTTAGGTTTTGATACATGGCAGCAGATTGTAGACAAATTCTTATACTGTGCTAACTCTTCAAAGCAAACAGGAGGTTCAAAGAAAATTTTAGAAGCAAACCTTCCACCACATAAGCACACAGGAACTACAAACTTTTCTGGCGACCATAGCCACTCATTAAGAGACCACCCATTATACAACTCAGACTATGAAGCTGGCAATGACGTTTTATCTCCATCTTATAACAATTCAGCAAAAAAGACTTTTCGACCAACTGAACCAGGAGGAAATCATTCACACACTTTCACAACAAATCCAACAGGCTCGGGTGAAGATTATATGCCACCATTTATGACTGTATTCGCATGGTTCAGAGCTGCTTAACTCAAGATCACGATCACAAACTGTTTCTCAGTATGAATGAGTAGCTCTATTTTTACATCATTACTGAAGTATTTCTTTTCTTCATCAATGACAGAAAGAATGTTTTCATCATCTTTTAAAGATCTTACCAAAGTTAGATCTTCATCAGAAAATCTCAAAGAAAGACTCATTTATGCACTAATAAAAATATAGCTAATTATTTTTTATCTGAACTTTTTATCAGGTATATAAAGATGTCTGAACATCATTTGAAGTTCTTTAAGATCCAACAGTTTGTAGATGATGTGAAGAAGCAAAATAAAACAGCAAAGAGACTACTTATATGCTTACCACAAACATTACGTCAAGGAAAGTATGGTTATAGTGCAAGTCCGATCATGATCTTTGTCGATAAGCAGAAATACACAAATGAAGGTTTAGCTAATTTACTTAAGTTTGAAAAGATAGCTATAAACATCCCTGACCATTTCTCAGCGAGAATAAACCTTGACAAGACTAAAAGTTATTGTTTATATGTAGATCTCACGAAAACAACAAAGAGAAAAGACAAAAAATATAACCCAGTTGAACTTAAAACAATGGGTAAGAACTTACTCAAAGCTGCTATCAAACCTGTCGAAGAGATCGACATTGAGGATGAAGCAGAAGAAATAGATGTAGATCCTGAAGCGTTATAAACGATAAAGTTTATTTTTGGAGGAAGATGGTGTCAGACCCTTTGATCTGGTATGCTTGTTCTAGGTAATTGCAGAAACCTAGAAAGATTGGTATTGGTCTGAGTTTCATATCTGGTCTCTCATCTCTCCATTGAAGCAAGTAAATTTTCATGAAGAGTTCGTCTGGCTTCTCCGGTTTTGGTACACACTGATCGAAGATCTGTATGACCTCTTCATGACCGTACTCCCTATGGTCAGACATGAGTGTTAAGAAGAACATTTGCATCTCCGGACCAGGTTTGTCATTTATGCAACGAGTGAGTCTCATTGACATTTTTGTCACTTTTTATTTGGTCTTATGGAAGGATTTGAGTTCATGCCACTTGACAGCAAAGAAGATGCAGAAGAGGTTGTTGTTGCTGCATTCTATGCGAGCTCACACGTTGACGCATTCCATGCTTACCAGGATGACCTCGAAAAAGAAGGTCGAAAGCTTGGAAAGATCCAAATGTTGCTTGAGTTCTTCCGTGGAAACCTTGCACAGAAGTATGAAAAGAAAGAATAAACAACTAATTATTACTGAGCTAAGCTCATAAATGTAAGTTTTTACTTTGATCAGATCTTAGATCTCGTCGGGATAAGCGGAAAGGATAAAGTCCATGAGTTGGACTTTTGTCTTAATGAGTGGTACTGCACTCATCAGTATTTCACGCTTGTTGGAGCCCATTGGAACACGACCTTTCCAATTCCTCATAGATCTCAAGGCAGAGAGCGTGAAGAACTCAAGGACAAAGAGTCTTTGAGACTTGGTAAGGAATCCCTCATCATCTCTTTCATCCTGGAGGGTCTTTGTGGATACTGTGGACTTGATCTCGTCTTCCTCGATCGGATCATTCTCATAATCTTCATCACCCTTCTTCCTAAACGTCATCTGCTCTCTCTTGTAGTCGTTCCTGAGAGCATTGAGTCCAGCTTCAAGATCTTGTGAGTTCTTTGCAGGTTTATTGAAAGTTTTCTTTTCCTGCATTTGCTGTATAAGCTGGGTTTGCTGTTGCATCATCTGCATCATCATTGCCATCATATCTGGTGTTGGTGATGCTGGAGCTGGTGTTGTACCGTCTTGGGACATTTGGTCGTCGGTGATGTCTTTACAAAAGATTGCTTTACAAAAGACGTCTTGACAAAAGTCTGCTTTACAAAAGCTTGCTTTACAAAAGTCTGCTTTACAAAAGCTTGCTTTACAATAGCATTTTCTCACAAAATTGAATACTTTTGCTTGACAAAAGCTTGCTTTACAAAAGATTGCTTTACAAAAGATTGCTTTACAAAAGACGTCTTGACAAAAGTCTGCTTTACAAAAGACAGCTTTACAAAAGCTTGCTTTACAAAAGACTGCTTTACAAAAGACTGCTTTGAAAAAGCTTGCTTTACAAAAGCCATGACTGATCTTCATCCAATTTGTTTAATCGAACTTAATGAAGTAGTTTCTGCATATCTCCTGCATGTATTTGGAAACGAGAAGAGAAGACAACTCACCAAGGTTTCCAGACGCCAGATCCAAAGACTTGAAGCAACTGCAGGAGTAATCCTAAGCTTTGAAGAAGGATTAACCAATAAGAAAGATGTCATTGACTCCAAGCGTGAAAGCCTTGCTGCTTTCTTACGCAAACACCCATGGGTCGATGTTGATCTCCAAACTCCTTACCAAGGACTCGTTGAAACCTTCACGATTTACAGACAACTCCTTGACAGACCTGAGCAGAACCTTCTGGTCGAACGTGATGGCACATTAAACCCTACAGACAAGCAGGTTGAGAAAGAAGAAGCTCAAGAGTAAACACATTCATTTACAAACGTCACTTTTTGAATTTTTTTCATGAGTGTTCACGTTAAGATCAATGATGAAAACAAGACTCCATGGGAAGATATCATTGATGACATAGAGAATGACCTTGATGAAAACATGATGGGAGCTCAAACGTCAGTTAAGGTCAAACTTGGTGAAGTTCAAGAAAAAATCTCCGAGATCAATGCAAAAATATCAACACTTAAAGAGGTTGACGTTTATTACAGAAGCTTGGAGAGAACTTTAAGCAAACTTGAACGTCAGAACCAAAGTCTCATAGTTGTGCTCCAGAAACTCAGTCTCATGCGTAAAGCATATAATGACTACCTACATGTAAGAGACTTACCTTCTTATTCTACTCCAGATCTCGACTTTTCCGATATAAGTCCAATCCTTATTGATACAACACTTACGATAGCAGGGATGCTTCCTACATACCCAGAATATGATAACTTACCACAGCTCTTTGAGTATCTCAAGAAGAAGTTCATGATCTTACTTTGCGAGACCATGAAAGGTAGACAAAACACCAGAACAGAACGAGAACAGAGCTTACTAATAGACTTATTATATAATACTAAAGAAATAAAGGAGTTTTTATTCTGACTTAGGTATTTTTGGGAAGAACTGATCTGGATCATATTTGTCATCCACAGGTTTTGGTATCAAAAGTCTCTCTGGTTCTTGGACGTCTGGTACCGGAAATGGTTCCTTTGGTTTCCTAGCTTTTGGGAGATCTAAAAATTTTCTTGGTCTCTTTCTGGGTCTTAAATGTTCTCCATCTTTATCAGTAATAGTTGTGAACCAACCATTACCGTCAAAGTTGAATATCTTCTCAAATTCAGTTCCTTCATCAACTATTATCCTCTTTATCTTACTCTTCTCCATTAATGGAAAAAGTGACATATATTACTTCATTGTTTTTCTGAGTGTTAGGATTAATTAAACCTCTACCTATAACATGTTTTGTCACAGAAAATTTCTCTCCATATCTTTTTGACAAGATCTCTATAAGTTCTTCTGTATAAGATTTGTCACTACTGAAGTAAATAGATGGATAATTAAGGACATCAAAGGTTTCTACAGTATCTTTAAGAGTCCATTCATCTCCATACTGTATAGAATAAGTATGGAAGTATGGAGGATCACATATAAAGAAAACATTGGGAAGATCTTTGTACTCATTGAAGAGTATTCTCCAATCTTTATGAACTATTGTTAAACCTTCAAGATAGTCATCTATGTTTTCATCAAATAAGTGAGTATATCTGAGGTATAACACTTTCTTCATTAATGTGACAAGATCATAGTATTTGTATGCTCCAGAATAGAGAAGACGTGAACATAATGTATCCCAGTCTATGTATGGAGCTTTACTTATAACTTCTCTTATGATCTCTTTCTGATCAGTAGGAATTTTCTCATCTAGCTTAACATTTATTCTCTCCTTAAGTTCCTTAAGTATCTCATTCGTATCATGAATGTGTTTCAGTCTATCAACGTAGTTATCATAGTCATTAGCTATAATCGTTGCTTTTGGAAACAAGGTATGCAACAGATGAGAGATAAAGAGAGAGCCACCAAAGAGGTCAACGAAGACATAATCTCCTTTGATGTCTTTGAGTATGTCTATAAGATCTTTCCTGATCTTAGACTTATTACCTATGAAAGGTAAAGGAGGTTTGGTAAAAATCATTTATATGGTAATAAAAATAAGTGTTTACTTGAGACAATAACCTCTGTTGAGTTTGTAGAACAAGATCAGAAGTACGATCAAGTTCAAAACAACACAAATGGCTAGGATTGCGTTACCAACAATCTTTGTCTTTTCCCAGCAAGACTTCTTCTTTGGTTCATGTGCTGCTTCGACATCACTGTATGGCTCGGACATTAACTTAAAAAGTGTCATGACCACTTCATTTTTCATGAAGTCAACAGTTTATGTCCACTTCCTCCCACAAGCACTTGAGGAACAAGAGAAGGTCATCATTGAATACCTTCAAGCAACTGAGAAGCTCGAAAAGCTTCAAGATCTCCGCGAAGAGTTCAAGTCCCGCTTGAAACAGGAGAACTTACTGCAGGAGTACATGCTCATCCTTTATACACTCATTGATGGCTCCCATTTACCATCAGAGTACACTGCAACCCTTGATGCACTCAAAGATCTTCGCGATCACCAGCCGATCGGTAAAGAAGCCTTCGAGTTCACCATTGAGCAAGCCATCTTCGCCAAGCACAATGCAAAGAAGCGGATGCTCGAAGCTCTTGATATGATCAAGGAGTACGTCGAAAAGTAAAATAATTTTGAGTAAACGATAAGTTTTATTCATTGTTTCAAATTTATTGAGTAAGTCTTGAAACATTTGTGCTTTTGTTCTTGTTTGAACAACCATATTTAACATTAGATAAAAAAATTTTGACTAAACGATAACATACTTAAGACATAAATTATACCTACTTATTAACTCAGTATATTGAGCATTATATGCATACTTAAA